CCTATGAGACAATACTAAAGCAACACTGTTATTTAGGCATTAAACTTTATCCTAGAGACTGAAGAAAACATCTCTGTGTAACTACAAAAAAGACAAACGGTAACTACATTTTTGTTTTTGTGAAAGAAAGGCTTATGTTTTCTCCTGAAATGTGTATGCATCTGCGCCATTATCAGAAACAAGGTTATAAAAAGATGCTAAAGCCCAAACACCTCCACGCATGCAGTTTATCAGAGGCTCTCCTGAACACTGACTCACCTTAACGGAATGTCTGTGTGAAATGGGGTTGATCAGGGGGTCAAAGTAAAAAGCTGGGAGATCGGGATCTTCAGTTTTAATGAAAACAACGTTGGGAGTATGATACCTGCAATACAGAACAAATTATTAGAGCATCCTGATGTCTTCCTTCTCCTCTCCCTGCTCTCGAGACTGCTGCACGTACCAGGTCAGGTGGACGTGGTGGGGCAGGTTATTGTACAGGTACGGGAAAGCAATTTTATACTCCGTCCTGATGGGCTGCCTGATGATGATTTTGTTGATGTCATTAAATTCATTCCAGTCTTCATCCCTCGAATGAGAAGAAAAGAAATTGTCATACCAGCACTCAAGAAGACAGAAACACAAATATTTTTGACCAAAGATGCAGTATCTGTGCCTTTCCTTTAGCCTTCTCTTCATCCTATGAATTACTCAGTGTCTAAAGCAACAGGCACATCACAGACAATGATAAACTTGAGCAAAGACCCAGAATTATCTCACCCAAGGCAAGGCACGTGATAACAGATTAGCCCTCATGACCCTTTCCCAGGTAATTACTTATCTTTCCTCCAAAATCGAACACTTACTGAAGATTGATATCTCTAACGAGAGGCTCGAACTTGGGCCCTCCAGGAATAGCCATGTTCAGTGCCTTGGAGGTGAAGAATGCTTTCAGGTCAAACAAATAGAAGTAGTTGTCATCCACCAGGTCCGTGAGCAGCTGATTTGCCAGCCGGTACAGCGTGGACATCATGGGCAGAGTGAACTGCCACCGCTGGTACGTGGAACCATTGACATACCTGCAGGGAAACAGAATGGGACGCTCACTATACGGCCAGAAGACAACTGGTCCCGTACTAAAGGACCACAAATAACCCAACACCTTTCCCTGACTGCCATTTGCAGAAAATATTAAGGACAGCCAACTCCTGCCCCCTCCTAGACAGAAAGAGACGCTGCAGGATTGCTGAGAACTTTTATGGATTACAACTGTCCAGTTCCTTGCCTCAAACTGAGGTACCAACATCTGAAGTCATATACAGGAGCCTCTCATAAGTGCACTCTTAGTAACCGCCGACTCAAATCCCAACTAGACTATCCAGGTTTCCATCTCAGGCACAGCAAGACACAGAGTTTTAGCAATTACCCATGAAGAGACAGAAAGGCTTTGTTTGCCCTCCCTAGATGCTGAAGACCAAGGGATGGCTTTACAGTGGTCAGATTCGCCCTCCTATTCTTGAGGGAAGGTTTTCTCCCCATGCCAACATCACACATAGCCCAGTGTTGCACAAGCAAAGGTTTTATACCACTACATACAGGTAATTTATGTAGTGAATAATGTTTTTTTCCCACTCCCAACCCCTCACTGAGTTGTGCTACGTACTTCCTGTTGTCTTTCAGCGGCTGGTGGTCGTAGAACCAGTCTAGCACAGGGGCATCTTCCTCTGGATCCAGCTCAAGCTGAATTGCTTCCAGGGGCTCCACATCCAGGATGTTATCAGCATAATCCAGAGGTGGCTCTTCGTCATCAAACGGGGGGAACCTCATCCTCTTGAAGTGACGCCTATCCCTCTTCTCTCGCCTCATCATAATCCACATCGACCTGGCAGAAACCAGAGGCCATTAGGCACCACTTTTATTGTGGTATCAGCGTGCGACTTTGCTCACAAGATCCCACCTGGGTTAAGGAAGGCAGCACTTACCCCCACTGCGCGATGTACACCGGCTCTATGACCCAGGGAATCTCATTCACAAAAGAGATGGCTCCGGTGATATGGTACAAGACTGGAACATCTCTGATTTGCTCCCACGGCATGGGCATGTTCTCCAGGAGCTTCAGAACAGCATGAGGCATGTACTTCAGAGCACTACAATCAGAAATCAAGGAGTATCACAGATAGAAGAGATCTCAAGAGAACAGGCATTTGTCTGCTGGAAGCCCTCTCACGTGTACATCTGCCAGCCCTGAAAACTGCTCAGCTAACCTGCTCCTAAAGGCCTCCAGTGACAACACTGCAAACTTCTCCTTCTATCCTTGCGCTTCATTGATCTCATTACCAGAAAGTTTTCTACCGGTTGGTTTCACAGACATCATTACATGTTAAAAACATCCCATCAAAAATATTTTTAATGGAGTTTTTACAGGTAACCCTAAGTTAGTGCAACAGCTCACAATCTGCACAAGATGGTATTCTGAACCCAAACTGAGAAGCACTCATGGTGTATATTAATCATCCAAAACCATATTGACTACTTGATGCTCCCCCCCGAGCCCCTTTCAGGATTCGGCACGGTGGTTTTTCTCAAAAATCCAAAGCAATAAATCCTTTGCTGATTCTGTTCCTCACTGCCATCCTAGTACAACTGCCTGGCCTGCCTTCCTCGTGCTGCCACGCTGCTTTCTGTGCCCAGCAGACACTGAGGGAAGGAGAGAGGACTCTCCCTTCAGCGAGCACCCTCAGCACGGCAGCAGCTCCCAGCGCATCCCCCGGGAGCGGGGCTGTCCCGTACCCCAGGTAGACTCGCTTGTCGTGGCGGAACTTCCTGTTGGTCATGTCACCGTGGTCGCGGATGATTTTGCGGACGTGCTCGGGGGGCATGTCCTCCTTCTGCGCGTCCACGAAGCCGAATTTCCTCTTCTCGGCGTAGCGCTTGGCCTGCAGCTGCTGCCATTTGCGGGCTGCGGGGGGACAGAAACCAAAACACGGCGTCAGGCCGGGCCGGGACCCGCTCGGCAGGCCTCAGCCGGCCCTCACCCACCTTTCTCCTGCAGCTTCTCCTCAGACATGTAGTCGGGCAGCGGCGCCAGCGGGCTGGGCACCGGGGCGCAGGCCCCGCGGTACGGGAACACGGCGGCCATGGCGACGGACCTGCAGGGAGACGCACCACGGGCTCACGGCGGGGTCCCGGCCCCTTCAGGAGCCCTCTCCGGTCCCTCCCGGTCCCTCCCGGTCCCCTCCGGTCCCCCCCCGGTCCCGGTCCCCCCTCACCGCTGCCCCGCGCTCCCCCCCCGCAATGGCGGCGCTGCCCCCACCGCCGCCGCGCCTCCGAAGCCCGGATGTGGGCGGGGCGCGCGGCCTTGCGGTCTGTCCAATCGGCGCTCGCAAAGCCTGATGGACAGCGCTCCCAGCCAGTCAGAGCGCGGGGAGAGGTGGGGAGGCGGGGCCAAGAGAGGGAAAGGGAAAAGAACGGTGCTTCCCGTGGGGGGGAAGGTCCCGCCTCCTGCTGGGTTTGATTGGTGGAGAGGAGAGCGGTGACAGCTCGGGGCGGGCTCTGATTGGACCATCACGGGCGCGATGCGGCCTGCAGCCCCTGGCCCTGGGCTTGGGGCCGTGAGGCAACCCCAGAGCGGGCCGTAAAACCCCCAAATCCTGACTGCTGGAGGAGCCCTGCGGGGGCATCCCGCCCAAACACCCCCTGCCAGCACTGCCACCACTGCAGCGTGTCCCCAAGCACCACCAGCCTGCCCCTAACACGGATAAAACACGTCCCCAAGCACCACACCTACACAGCCCCTAAACACCCCCAGGGACTGTGGTGGCTCCACCACCTCCCTGGGCAACCCGTCCCAGTGCCTGACAGCTCTTCCTGAGCAGAAATGTCTCCTCATTTCCCACCTGAACCTCCCCTGGCACAACTTGAGGCCATTCCCTCTGGTCCTATCACCAGTTATCTGCGAGAAGAGGCCGACCCCAACTCCCCACAGCTTCCCTTCAAAGGAGAGCAATAAGCTCTCCCCCGAGCCTCCTCTTCTCCAAACTAAACACCCCCAGTTCCCTCAGCCACCCCTCACAGGATTTGTGTCCCAGAACCTTCCCCAGCTCCGTAACCCTTCTCTGGACACCTGGCCCCAGTGTGGGCAGTGCAGAGCGCACGTTGCTGCTCTGAGACTCCCACAGGGGCTGTGGGAACAGCTCCTGAAAAAACGCGTGAGTGGGTAAAACCAAAGGGAAGGCACTGGCGGGCAGCTCCGAGAGGATCACAGCCATGTAACCACCACCCGCAGTGACACACCACCAAGGAGGTGCTTGCAGCACCTGCAAGTGCCACTAACAGCATAAGCAGCTTTGTTCTCTGGCCTCCCCCTACCCACATGCATTGTCTTTTTCTGTGTGTGTTTCTGTGCCCGTATTTTCCTCCTCAAAACTAGTGCTGCCTGCTCCTAGCAGTGTGTGACCCCTTGCTTCAGCCCGTCCCTCAAACCAGATTTAGAAATAACATTCTACCTCAAGATTTTGAGGTAAAAGGTTATTTGCCATGCATACAGCACAACAGATCAGTGCATTTCTGAAAACAAATACACATAACCCTGACTGGGGTAATCCCACTCTTCTACGTGGTGCTGGGCTGTTGGGAAGAGTTCAGTGTGTGGGAATAAGTGGGGGAAAAGGAAAAGTGTATGTGTGTGTGTGTTAAAACTTCTAATTCCTTGTTCCAGGAAAGCTTGAGGTACATGCAGAGCAAATTGCAAGGCTCCTTCTTGCTTTGCTGCAACCAGTATCAGGAACGAGAGCAGCAAAGCCGTGAGATCCATACCCTGCGTGCGAGTGCCCCGCAGCCTGCCCTATTTCTCAGCAGGCACTTTCCTCACCCTGTGGGTTGCGAATGCCTGCAACCCTTCCCAGGTGCCAGCCTGCAGAAAGCGCACCCTTCCCTCACCTCGGGGAGCTTTCGCAGGAACAGGAGAAACCTTAATCTTTCTCCATAGAAAGGAGAGGGAACAAAAATCCCTGGAGAGGTAGTCTGGGCCAGTGTACGGTATATATTTTTACTCTGGAGCAAGGAGATACAGGATAGGAATTCAGTGCTGAGCAATGACACCCCTGGAGCAGGCTGGAATGCAGAGCCCCTTTTTCCCTGCTAAGCCTCTTCCCCTTGAGCTGTTTCATTTGCAGCCGTTTATTAAAAAACTTGTGTTAATAAGAGCTCGTGCTGCCGGGTAAAGACCATTACACTGCGCTCTGCAGCAGGACTTTTCATTCCTAATAGATGCCAAATCTGGCCCATCTGAAAAAGCCCCATTATGTGGGAAGTGACCGTCACATAGCATCCTGGCACACAGCTCGTGCTCTCCCACACACATTTATAGGGAATTACAAGGTCTGGGAACAAAACAACACTGGAAAAGTTCCAGTTGTCAGGAGAAGTCAGCAGCCTGTCCCCGAGCACAGTTCTGCTGCTCCACTTCTCCCACCCCAGAACCTGCAGCAGGCAGCATCTGACACGGACAGCCTAAGCCTCTCCCTCCATTACCCACCTGGGACAATCTCCTTGGGGAGGACTCATGAGTGTAGGATTTGGCTTTTACTGGCCCTGGCCTTGAGGGTGAAGCCTTGGTGCTCCCATGGGAAGTGCCAGAGACAGCAGAGGACTGAGTGCAGTGTCCCCCGGGGTGTTGGGATGCTGCAGGTGCAGCTCCAAAAGGGTTATAAACACACGGTGGTGTTTGTATGTCCAGAAGAGCAGCAGGGAAATGGTGCTCCCTGCTCCCTTCTCATTTCAGCAGTGCTTTGTGGAGCTGTGAGAGCCCTTGGGGCTTCTCTGTGCAGCTCAGGTCATCCAACCACATCATCCGAAGTGCCCCAGTGCCTAGTCCATGAGCACCTTCTCTGCCCAGCGTCCGCAGCCACAAGCCCAGAAGCTCTGTCCGTGCAGCCCCTCCAAGCAAGACACTGAAATAATCATGCTCACACTCCACAGCTCTCTGCCGTCCTCATCCACGGGCTCACAGCTGCTCATCCCCTGGGGCCTGCAGGGAAGGGAGCTATTTCTCCTTCTCCCGCCGCACGTCCCGGCTGGACTTGAAGAAGTCACTACGCAGCAGGCGGTAGAAGAGGATGATGTTCATGGGCATCATGATTGCCATGCCCACCACGCCCACAGTGTAGGCTGCTAGGGGCACTTGCTGCCGGTTGAGGAGCAGCCAGCGCGTCATCCAGGCCAGCGTGGTGATGCGAAACACCACGTAGGTGCCCAGGTTGACGATGCTGGTGAGGCGGTAGCAGGTGGTGTGCACCAGGTCGGCCATGAGCAGGATCTGCCGCAGGTGGAGGAAGATGGAGTTGATCTCCACCAGCAAGGCCACGAAGGCGAAGCCCATGTACTGATGGAGCAGCACCGCGATACCGAAGCAGACAATCACCTGGGAGGAGAAAGGAGAGAGGCTGAGCCCAGGTGCTGGTTGCTCTCAGCTGCTGCAAGCCAGAGCCCTTCATGCTTGGGCACGGCGTGAAGCAGAGCTGGAAACAGTTGTCACACCAGAGCCAAACCGCTGGTCATCACTTCACTCATCTCTGCAGCGCTGCAGGCATGAGATAAGGTCTCTCCATCACCGTGTGAAACCTGAGTGTGTGTTTGTTTTGTTTTGTTTTTTTCCCCAGAAAAAGAAGAAGGAAACAATTGTATAAACCCTGGGATAAAGAGGAAGCTGAACAGGCAGACCTAACCCTGCTTTTGTGGCCTGGGGAGCGCAGCTGGTGGTGGCCTAGCAAGGTGGTTCTGCACACAGCGAACAACACTGGCAGGGAGGGAGATGCCTAGCCCAGGGTTATGGCTGCTGCTGTCTCAGGGATTCTCCCCAGGACAGGCACACGGCAGGAATTAAGTAGCTTTGGTACATGAGAGCCCCGTGGCCACCTCTCAGGGAGCTCTGGGATGCCCCAGAGGACAGGGCTGTGGGGGCTAAGCGGGTACAATCCTGCCCCGCACCCTCCCTGCCTGCCCGTGCCCTACCATGCTCAGACCTTCCTGCAGTTTATACCCTTTAATGCTGTTATTTGTATTGGCTCTCTAATAAGATTATCTGCTTGCTAAATCACTGTCTTGGCCTGAATTAGCTCTATTGTGCAGATGACCTTTTGACTCGTGAACGGTGGCCAGCAGAGCTGCAGGGCTGAAAATCGCCTTCCCCAGCATGGTCCCACCGCCACCCCTCCTGTCCCCCATGTCTTGCAGAGCCCCCTGCCTCCCCTGGAGCCTGCTGGAAAATAGGCTTGGCTGCTCAGCTGCATGGTGCCATCCCCCTGCCCTGCAGCGTGTGCAGTGCTCGGGCACCCAGACAGCAGAGTCAAGTAAGAAGAAACCCATACTAGGTGCAGAGAGGAGCAGGGGGGAGGCAGAGAGCACTTATATGAGGGCATCACGGCTGCCCGCAGCCACCCAAGCCCCATGGCCACAGTTTTGACCTGAATGAAAGCACCCCGGGGAGCAGCCAGGAGTAGAAGGTGGAAGGAGGAGATATTTGGGGTGTGCAGCCCTTCCTGTGGCTGCTCAGCTGGCTGAGAGCTGGCAGGAGCTGAAGTGCTCGCTGGTGCCAATGGGGACACCTGGGTCATGCCTGTCTGTGCCAGGGGCATGGATCAGCCCCCCAGAACATTAAAGGTAAGGCTGTGGCTCGGACCACTCAGGTCCCACAAGCTCTGGGGTCTGTCCCCACCTCGCCACCTCCCTCGTGATGAGCAGGGCACTCCTCAGACCCGCTGCCACCCAGCGCTGCGCCCCGGGGAGCAGCCGGCGGACTCACCACGGAGTGATGGAAGAGCAGCTCCCAGGACTGGTGAAATTTCTGATTGCACAGCATGTCCACGAAGTCTTCCAGGAAATACCCTGGGGACAGAGAGGCCGTAAGCAAGGAAAGGGGGGGGAAATATGCAGGGACCCCCCAGGAGGCTCAGTACCTGACTGGCCACGAGGGCAGCACTCGACCCCTGTTTCCACCCCAGGATCTGATCCCACCCCACATCCTTGCAGCCCCTAGCAGCTACTGGATTTGCTGCCACCAAAGCAACCCCAAAGCAACCCCGCAGTGGTGTTTTAGGTAGTTAAATCTCCTTGCTGAGCTGTGGCAATGCCAGGCAGACTGTCAGCACTGACCACATAGCTAGTGACAGATCAGCAAGATGACAAGGAAGGGGACAGGCTTCAGGCAGCCGCAGGACTCAAAACTTCTGGCCTCTGTGCTAGATAGTTTAGCACCAGGCTTTAGGGGGATCTGCGCTGAGCACGTATTTGGGCACTTTTAGGATTCTCCAAACCCTGGCTGTCCAACGAGGACGGTGGCGGGCAGCCTGGTGCCCAGTACCTCCCGGCTGCGGGTGCCGTGGGACAGAAAGGAGCCACTGTCCTTGCCAAGAATAAGACGATTGTCTGGAGTGCCTGAGACGTCGCTGCCCAGGACGTGGCACCGTCAGGCACCGACGGGCCCCTGGGGACCCCCGGGGACAAAGCAGGGGGCAGCCCACTCCCCCCCCAGCCTCACCTACGGACACGGCCACCAAGCTGCGCGCCCCGGGCGGCTGCGTGCCCACCATGTCCTCGTGCAGCCCTGGGTAGAGGTAGAACCTGCGGGGAGAGGGGCTGCGAGTGCTGGGCAGTGCCTCCGCCCCCCTGCTTCCCTTCCAGCATCCCGGGTGCCCACCTGGTGCTGCTCACCCCCCCGGCACCCTCCTGTCCCCCTTGTCCTCCCCATAGCCATGCTGTCCTCCCGCTGCCCCCCTTCCCCAGAGCCTCCCTGTCCCCTGCTACCCCAAAATCCCCTTGCACCCCTCCATCCCTCAGCACCCCACATGCTCCACTCCCCCCAACCCCCCCAGCATCCCATCCACCCCTTCCCCAATCCCCCCAGCATCCCCTAACACCCCAATCCCCCCCTTCCACATACCCAAACCCCCGCGGCGCTTCCCTCCCTGCACTTCAGCCCCAAGTTCCCATCGGGATTCCCGGACAGCCCGGTTGTCCCGTGTCCCCCCAACCCCCCTGGGTGCCCCCACAGAGCCGCTCACCCCAGCAGCGCCCCGCTGCTGCTGAGCACGCTGTGTGCCAACGAGGTCCAGATGTTTCGCCACTTCCAGCGGTTGCGCTGAGCCGAAGGAGGCGGCGGCACCAAGCGCTCCAAGCCCCGGTTCAACAAGCGGAAAGCGGCGAAAGAACCGGCCATCAACAGCAACCCCACACCGACAGCCATGGGCAACCCTCAGCACCCCATGGGGCACCCACGGGAGCTCCACCACCGCTCCGCCTAACCCCTACCAGCACCGCCCCGGGCACCGGCACCGCCCCGGCAGCACCGGGAACCGCCTCGCCCCGTGGCCCCGTTGTTTTGGGGCCAGCTCTGGGCATCGCCATTGCTTGGGTGGGAAGGGAAAAAAAGGGGGGAGATGCAGCCAGCAGCGGTCCCAAGGGTGCTGGGGGGTTGCGGGAGACCCCTCCCGTGCTGCTGTGGGTTTTCCACTTCCACGCAGACGGACACGGAGGGGCTGTCCTTCCTCGCAGAGCCTGATTCAGGAAGAGGGAGGAATGGGAAAGGAGGCCCCTGGGGTGTGTGGCAGCTGCCTGCGGCAGCCTTGAGTCGGAAACGGCTGCAGGCATTGCTGTGAAATGAGGGACAGGGTGTCCCGATGCTGTGGGGTGTCCTGACACTGCGGGGACACCTTCCTTATCCCCCCCCAGGGGCTCTTCTCCAGCTCAGTGGCACTGGATGGATGAACACCCCTCCTCTACGGTGCTGCAGTCGGGGTGTTTCGCCCCAAAACATCCTCAGTGCCTGCTGCTGGTGAGGCAGCACATCACTGCACATCATTGGGATGTGCTGGGGACACAGCCCTCACCCTGGGTACGGATCCCCAGGATCCCTGCAAGCACACACCAACAAATCTGGCTGCAGGTTAAGTGATTAACAAGGTCCAAATCCATTCTGCACCCACCACGCTCTCGTCCTCCACCCCCCTGTCCCGTGTCTGCTCCCAAGGGCAGCTCCCTGGTGTCCGGATACCCCAGCTCTGGGGGTTTGGGGGAACTCGGGGTGGTGTCCCCCCAATTTCTTCAGTTCCATCCTACCGCGGCGCTGCTTCTCCTGCCTGCCCGTCACTTGATCGCTCCCGTGTTGCTCTTTGATGTCTCCACCAGAAGCGCGGATGCTGCCCAGACCTCGCGTCGCTCCTGCAGACGGGATGAGTCACCGCGTACACACCGATTAATGTCAGAGGCTGCCTCCTCTTTGAGGCATTAATTTGGGATGAAATCGTCTTCGCTCTCCTCGCTTGAACGGGAACATGCGGAGCCTGAGCTCTCAGTCACTGCCCTCTCCGGGGTAATGCACGCTGAAACAGCAACAAGCGATACGCTGATGGGAGAGACATTGCAGAGGGGAGAGATTAAATCAGAGCCGAAAGAGAGGGGTGAGATAGTCCCCACTGATAGCAAAGCAGCTGCTCACGCTGCAGAAATTTGCCTAAAAGCCAGGAAAAGCAATGCAATTTCATAGCCATTAAGTGCTGGGGAGACGTTGCCTGAAGTAATCCACAGCCCCGACTGCTGGGGGGGATTATAAATAACCCCGTGTATTAGGACTGGAGGGATCACACGGGCTAATCAGTTACCGAGAGGGCCAAATGGAGAAGATCCTGCTTGGTGGAAGAGGGAAGGGTGCTCAGCCTGTGCCCAGCCAGAGCTGGAGACGTACTGGGCTGCCCAGGGCACCGGGCAGGAAAATCGTTTGGTGCCTAATTGTGCTGTAAAATGGCAGGGAGCCGGCTCCTGATGAAACTCATCTGCGATGTCTTAGCCGCAGAAATCTTGACCGTCCCTTTCCGTGGCGGCAGGAATAGTTAAAATGCTTCTGGGCACTGGAGAGCTTTTACCGGCCACTTGCACGCGGGAGGAATTTAAGCCGTGATTAATTGAGCCTCTGGTTCGGCGGCTGAAATCCCGCTGCTGGAGCACCACCAGCGGCTGCACACTTTCTATCTTTCGGTTACTTTTGGCCCAGATTTTATGCAACTGTTCCAGGACTTGCCATCGGGCATGCTCTCCTACAAGCCCTCTTTTTGGCTTTTCCTGCTTTCCTTCCGCCCCGTGCAGCGATGGCACTAACCAGGGGACGGTTTTAGGGATGGAGGGACGGTTTTAGGGGGTTTTATGGATGGAGGGGTGACAAACAGGTCCCCTGACACCAGCCCCAGCCCCAAATCCCCTCCGTGCTCAGGCTTCAGGGCCAGGCTCGTCCCAGGGCAGGAGGGGAGCGCTCCGGCACCGCTGCCACAAGAGGTCCCTGCACGCTCGCTGAAGAGCCAGGCAGGGCAACCCGCTCGGAAAGGGCCTCTGCAGCCACACCTTATTTGGAGATATTGCTTTTTTCACCCCATTTTTGAGGCGTTTTCCAGCAGCTCCCAAAAGGCGGCGTTGGGTGCAGGGATGCAGCCCGGTGGCTGCTCCCAGCGGGGCAGGGGCTCCCTCCTGGTGTCAGCAAGGATGTGCCCAGCCCATAACTCCATCATCCCATAACTTGCCATCCCATAACGCTGTGGGGACGCAGCTCATCCCCTAGCAGGGGCTCCACAACAGCCGAGGTGTAAAGCGAGGGTGCAGCAGTGTTTTTAATAGCCTGGGTAACTTTTTTTCTCCCTCTCACAATTCGGCGTTTCCCTGCGGCACATCTGGGACAGATAAAAACCATTTTCCCCAAAAGAGCCCCAGCAGTTTGCTGATAATGGCCAGCATGAACTCTGCCAGATAAACGGTGTCCTCTCCCAGATGCTGCTCCTGGATGGGGGTGTGGGTGCTCCTTACCCAGCACCGTTCTGCTCCCAAACACCGCCCGGGGCTTGCTGCAGCCAGCAGATTTGGGAGCTTGTGACATGGGAAGTCCTTCTGGGTAAAGTCCTGCTCCTGCTTTTGGGAAGTCTCGCTCCCTTCACCCACCCTTCTCCAACCAGGGAGGTGGAAAGCCCATCTGCTCATCTAACGCCATGCTCACACCTCACAGAGCTTGGGGAGTCGGAGATCTCCAAGCAAATCAAGCAGCTTGACTTCCAAATTTTAATCAGTTGTCTTCTTCAACCCCCTCTAAAGCACGTCACGGCCCTGCTAGGCCATAGGAAGTCAGAAGATACAGAGCAGCTCTACTCTATATATCCGGCTTTTAATTCAGAAAGTCTGTGAACTCCGTGCTTATGAAAGGACCTACTGTGAGAAACGTGCCGCACGTGGCAGAGCACGCCCAAGAGCTGCAGAGGTAGCTGTGGAGAGCACTGAAATCAATGCAGACTCCAGCATCTGCCCCTTCCAGCTAGGAACACCTTCCTGGTTAACCACCACACTCAGGAGTTGGTCTTGGATGGCGAGGAGCTCGCCTGGATTTGCGCCACCACCCATCTGCGCTCACCCTGCTCAAGCCCAAGAGGGGAAAACCCTCCCTGCTCTTCCCAAGCTCTGAGCAGCCCCGAGTGCATCCCGCTGTCACCCATCCTTTCTGACACCGTCCCTTCAACAACTTTGGCATCTCCTGGAAGCTCAGCTTCCTTCTTTCCTGATGGTGAACGGTGAGATGTGGGGCCAGGCACCTGCTGCCCAGCCTATATCCCATTCCTCACCCTAGCCAGACGTGAACGCTCAGGAAGAATATATGAAACAGCACATATATACTCTATAAACAGCACATATATACTCTATAAGCAAATTGATTCCCTCTAAATATTTCATTTTCCATGTCTCCTTCCCCTGTGGGATAAACATGTTTTTTCTATCTGGTTTACCGTGCCCAAGCTTAAGTCATTGCTGACAGATATTGATGTGCTCGCTGGCTCCGTTATGAGGTATTTATGACCCCGTGCTTTTTGCAATTCAGACAGGTTCAGAATGAGCCTTGAAAGGTGGAAGTACATCCCAGAGCCCTACACCCCTCTGTGCAGCACTGCTTGTTGCTGAGCCCACATGATTGCTCCTGCATTACAAACAGAAGTGCTGGAGCTTCACAGCTCCTGCTGCTGCTGGCTCTGCAGCTGGGCATGGGGTAGGTTCCCTCCTGAATTCTCTCATTATTAATATCACAAACCAAGCTGTTCTGAGAGCGGTGTCCCATTAATCATCTTAGCTCTGCTGCTTTCTTCACTTCGCTTCCTCTTCCTGCGCCTGAGCATTCTTCAGCGGCGCTGGGCTCTGTGCAATGCACTGCTAAAATCTACAGCCCTGCTAAGGCAGGGAGGGAACAACCTGAGCAAGCTGGGGGCAAGGACATATCTGTACAGCCACAGCTGCACTACAGCAGGACAGAACGTGCTGCACTGGCTGAGGGTGGTAGGGGCTTGAAAGCAGACACCCCCCCACCCCCCATTACATTTTCACCTGGTTTTGAATATTGCAGAGTGCTGGCAACACTGGATAGGCATAATAAAAGTGAGGATATCTAATAAAAAGCGAGGACAGCTTGCCAGGATTGTCCAAGGACTGCTGATGACCACCTGAGCTCAGCTCACGTTTCAGGGCACTGCATCATTTCTCTCTCTCCCTTCGTTTCTACCTCCGATCCTGCTGCATTTTACAAGCAAAGGTCTTCACCATGCTGAGCATCCAGCTCTGCGTTACTTAGCAAAGGACCAAAAGATGCTTACAGAGCATCTTGCTGAAAACCTGCCTCTGCTAGCATCCCGTTCCCTGAATCCCTCGAGGGCTTATTGCATGTTTCTAGGTGTGAGCTGTCAGAGCAGCATGCAGCACCCTGCAGCAAACCCAGACCTCCCCCTTACACTCAGTGCCCTTCCTGACTTTCAGAACAGGGTGGGATCCCTTTGCCATCACCTTTACCCTCATCAGAAGTGGGGATTTTGTTTTGCAAAAGTCCTTCCCGGGATGCTGGGCTGCATCCAACAGCTGGATTGGGCTCAGCCCTGCAGTGCCAAAGCCACCCAAAGCACAGCAGGGGTTCCCACCTGGCTCCCAGCGAAGCCTCACACCACTGCTTGCCTTCGGACCTTCCACTTTGCTGGTGCACTGCAGCTTTCATCCCCGAGCAAACGCTTTCCAGCAATTTCTGCTGAGTCAGAGAATGCCTCCACGAGGGCTGCTGCTTCTCCACGTGGGAATGCGCTCCTAGGGAATAATTACAGAGAGTTTAAACAGGGACGTGCAGTAGCCAAATTGCTTCACTCTCAGGCGCCTGGCCAGCAAGGCAAAACCCAAAGCTGCTTGTTAGCACTGTAAGAAAATACTCTGCACCTGCGCCCACTGTGGGCGTACACCACCCGTGGGCTAAGAGCACTCCTGGCATCAAAGTGTCCCAGGGCTGAAATGAGTGCTTACAGCTTGCTTACAGCTCTGTGGGTCCAACAAAATGAGCCACTCTGCAGGCAGTGAGCGTACACTTACTGAGCATCCATGTTCGTGTCCTCTTCTTTCTGGCATGCCCACAACGGGGTTTGGGAAAGAGTTTTCATTCCCCTCTGATGCTGGATTTCAGAGCATGCTGCATGGCAGAAAGCTGCTCCGCTTCTGCAAGAGGAATGATGGCAACATGCTGCTAGGGATTTGTCCCCCCTCTAAATTTTGAGACGTATTTAAAGGTTTTGAAACATCTTGACTGTGAAATAGAGATAAGAACTGGAGTAGACACAAACAGTGTAGGCGTCACTCCCATTTTTTGCAACTCCCACCCTCCTGCAAAAATAGCACAGTCAGCAGCATGCCACCCTGTGCAATCCGCACGGACGTGGCAGCGGTGGGACTGGGTGCCTGGATGTCCGCAGACCGAAATGTACTCATGCAGGAGCAGAGCAGGAACACGGGGCATTTGCAGAGATGCTGAACACTTTGTGGTCCCTTAAAATCAAAGAGAGAGAGAGAGAGGATCTGCCTTAAAACAAACAAACAAACAAACACAGATTAATTAATTTTAAATGTTGTAGAAAAGTATAAGTAGTAGTATCCAAAGTGTGGCAAAAATACCATGTGCTGGGCTAGAGCACTTCCCATCAAGAAAGAGCAGAGGTATCTCTGCATTGACTCAGTTTCTGTTTCCGAATTGCATCTCACATGACGCACCTAGCCTCCAAACCACACCTACCCCATAATTCATAAGTGTCCTTAATTCTTTTGCAAGCAGTTTCTAAATCTGAATTAAAAAAAAAAAAAAAAAAAAAGAAAGAAAAAAAGAAAACAAACAACGTTAATGATGCACGGAGCAGTTGCAGAAATCAGATAAGCTGTGTCCCTGCTGCCACCCGCCAACTGGGAATGTTGTGCAAGGCTGGGAGAGCATCGCCCAGCGTGGGCTGGGGGAGCGGGGTTTGGGGAGAGACTTACAGCCGGGGAAGGGACTCACAGACGGTGGTGGCAGCTTTCGACAGGGGCAAACGTTGAGTCCCTGCAGCAGCACCCTGTGAGTATCTGTTGAAGCCTTTCCTTGGGGTCGGGGTGGTAGTGTGGGAATTTCCCAATGTCTTGGTGTCGGCAGTGAAATCGCTGCCGTATATTGCGCACCTGCTATTCAAAATGTGCCCCACATTTCCCCTCTGTCTCCATTTCTTTCCTTTTTTTTTTTTTTTCCCGTCCAAAATGGAGAGGAAAATCTCTAAACACCCAGCTGACTTTCTTCTAAGCTAAAGCAGAGGCAGCACTAAAACCCAAGCTTTTCAGCTCCTTTTTCGCCCAGGAGACACTTTGGACAGGGATTGTTGCCTTTTTTATTTTTATTTTTTCTCCAGTTAGTGCAAATACTATCTCAGCACCAGCACTGAAGAGATTTCAGAGGTATTGTGGCAACTGCAGACCCCAGGCTAGAGCATCCACAGGCTGCATCAGCAGTGTCTTGCCCTGACTCATCTACTGTAAATAATTTTAAATATTTTTTTTTGTTTATGACACAACTATTGTGAAACAGGCTTGCCAGCTTGCTTGCCCTGTGCTTGAGCTCAGTTTAATGGGATGCAGGGCTGTCACCTGAAAATGAGAATTGGGTTAAGTCAGTGAAAAAAATATCAAAGGAATGGGCTTTGGGTTTGGAGATGAAATAAAAAATGGGGACGTGCATTTTCTGCCAGTCATGGCTCCTTTATTTATTTATTTATTTGTTTATTTTCTGTTACTCCATGAGTGTGGGACCCCTGAAATAGCGGTGGCCCTACTTTTTGTTGTGGGATTTTGCCGTGATGGCACAAATGTGCCTAAATGTCGTTGCCTTCAGGGGACACAGCAAGGACAGACACCAGCCCCTTCCGCCACCCACCCATGGCCACCGGCAAGGACGGCAATGACACCATCACCGCCGAGGTCTGCAATGAAGCCGACATCGGGGATGGAGAGTGAGTACCCTACAGGGAGGCCGAGGCCCAGCCTGCCGCCATGAGCCATGCAGGGCTGGCATTGCCCCCACAATGGCTGCCATGCTGGAGGCAGCCATGTTGGTGGCCGCCATGTCGGTGGTTGAGGGAGCGCCATGATGGCCATGAGGGGCTAAGCCTTGGCTCGCCACCACAGCATCCACCTCTCTGCCTTCTCCTACAGGCTCTGCGAGGTGATGGTGGCTGGCCACCCGGTGCTGCTGGTGAGGAACAAGAAGGAGTTCAGCGCCCTGGGCAGTAGGTGCCCACATTACGGTGCCCCGCTCAGCAAAGGTAATGCTTGTGCTTCACGGTGGGGAGAAGCCATGCTGAGGAGGCTGGCTGTCACCTTATTGTTGTGGGGGCTTTTCTGTTGCAGGGGTCTTGAGGGGGCACAGGCTGCGCTGCCCCTGGCATGGAGCCTGCTTTAACATCAAAACAGGAGATATTGAGGAATACCCTTCTCTGGACTGTCTTCCCTGCTTTAAGGTGACGTGTCGTCCTTCCAGCTTGGTCTATGTCCTCTGTGCCACCCACAAGTTCCTGTCACTGACCGTGGTCCCCATCACACAGAGCTAGCACATAGGATGATTTCCTGGGATCAAGTAACTCTCTGTCCTCAAGCTCTTTCAATCCAAAGTGATGCCATACATCCTGGTATCCTCCACAGCCAGCACTGCTCTTTTTTTTGGAAAGGAAAAAAGGATTTACACTTCTTCCTGAGTGCCCCTGGGAGGAAGAGAAAAGCTCATGAGCTCCGCAGCATCAATGGGTGCTCACTTGACATTCACGATCCCTATGGGTCACTCTTGGTGTGTCAGAGATGGTTGTCCTCCAACATTCAGCCCAATGGAGCAGGTCCATGAACACCTGTGGACACTGATCCTCACTCCTTAGAGCTGGACTCCATTATCCAGATTTGTCCTACAGGTCCCCAACTTTGCCTCCTAGACCCTTTCTCATTCAGGTCCCAGACTGCTGGACAGCCCACTCTTAGCAGGATCCTCTTTAACATCAGCCCTAGGACAGACCCCTGCCCAAGCTTTTAAATCACCATGGGGCCAGAAAGCATGGCACAGCAAACCCACTTAATTAGAACCTCACTGGAAAGATCCTATCACTCCCCATGAGTGCAGTGCTTAAATACTCTTCTTTTATCCCTTCAGGTAACAGTGGAACAAGGAAAGGTGTTTGTTACAGCAAAAAAGAAGGTACTGACCTTACCTGCTGCCACTAAGCACAATCAGCACCTTGAGCTAGGTACAATTTCATTATTTCTCACTCATTCTAGGATCTTGAAAGCAGCGTGAGGGTGAAGGACACAAGCAAACGGTGTCTTCTCAACCCGAACACAGTGCTGCTCCTTGGGGGAGGTAAGTGAAGTGGTCTGTACCATGCCCTCCTCACGTATACTGTGAGCTGCCAGTCTTGTCTCTGGGGGGGAGTTGCCTTCTTCTCCTCTTGCTCCATAGTGATGTGTAATAGGGCTGAGATGAGCATCTCTTGTAGGTGTGGCTGCCCTGGTCTGTGCAGAGACACTTCGCCAAGAGGGCTTTACTGGCAGGATCATCATGGCCACCAAAGAGAAACATGCTCCATATGACAAGTCCAAACTGATCAAGGTTTGTCTGTGAGAAGAGCAGGACCATGCCCGGGTACAACATGTGAATTAGGGGCATAGTTCACACTCATCACCAGACTGAGCAATAAAATGATCCATTTTGGCAGGGCAGCAGGAGTGCTCTGAGGCAAGGAAAAGGGCTATAATTTCCAGCTAATGTTTCACTTTTTCCTCTCAGAAACTCTTTGATCAAAGCCTACCACAGGCTAGTGGTTTTATCCCCTTTGGCTGAGTTCTTCCCACTAGAGGTTGAGTGGATATTTTTTTGAGGGGGTACAGGAAAATGATGGGGATGGGGCAATACTAGCAGCTGTGATTTACTAGTGCAGAATTTGCCTCTTATGCAAACTTCATTCCTAGCAAACACTGCAAGAGTACTGCTGGCTCTGAGAAGTGCTTTGTGTCATATTTCTGTTTTGTTTCCAGGAAATGACCATGAAAGCTGAGGACCTCTACCTGAGGAAACCTGAATTCCTCAGTGCTCGCGACATAGAGCTCTGGACAGAGAAAGAGGTGCAAGAGCAGCTGAGATCAGTCCTCAGTGGGTGGCTCTGTTCCTGCCACGGGGAGGGGATGCCCACACTTCCAGGCATAGTGCTACATTTCCAGAATGTGGGGCTCTGCTTAGGTACACGTTATCTTCTGTGACAGTGCTCCAAGGCCAGTGCTAGGGACTGTGAGCATGCTGCAATGCTGCCACAGAAGATAAGGTGCTCCTAAAGCCTAGCACCTGTGGGAACTGAAAAACTCCCCAGCGTTCCTCATTACCTGGGTGTCTAGACATAGGACAGGCAGGCAGAAGGGACTGATGAGGCAGGACACCATAGGGCCAAAGGAGCCTTCCTGATCTTTGCCTCCTTTGTTCTGCAGGCAGTGTCGGTGGATTTCCAGAAGCAGAAGGTCCACTTCAAGGATGGGTCTTCTCAGAAGTACAATCAGCTGCTCATTGCAACAGGCAGCCAGTGAGTATATGAAGCGTTTGCCACATGCAAAAGTTGTGCCAGAACAAGATGGGTCAACGCTGGGAGCTTGGAACTCTTCTACAGAAATGTGGAAGGGAGTGGTTATGAGATGATATAGGACAAGATGGGATCAGATGGCCAAGAGACTGCATGAGTTTGTGTGCTCCCTTCTTACCTTCTCAGCTTCATTTATGATCAGGAGACATACCTGGATTTTCTCTCTCTCAGCTCCAGCTCCCTCAAAGTCCCAGGCGCAGACCTGCAGAACGTATGTCATCTCCAAACCCCAGAAGACTCTAGCAAGATCTTAGAGCTGGCAGCTGGGAGGAACGTGGTGGTCGTAGGAGCTTCATTCATAGGTAAAAGGCTGAGTGACAATCAGGTCATGGAAAAGGGGGCCTTGAAACCCACTGCTGCTGTGTGTGCAGATTGCCTGGGGCCCGCAGAGAAGGGATAGCCATTCACTGCCTGTCTTGTCACCAGAGACTATAGCTGGGGGTGTGCGAACTACACAACACATCAACTCTTACCTCTGATAGCCAGAAACTGAGCTATCCAGGTCCAGGAAATGTATATAGAGGGAGATGTGCCCTGTGAAATAGTCACTGTCCTTCCAAGGAGCAGGACTTCCCCCAAACATTGGGAAAGTGAGAGGGTAAGGCCCAGAAAAGGAGCTATTTGGTACAGAACCAGGAGCTGGGCTTTGTATTTCCTAACATCTGGGTCCACAGAGCAAGAGAACAAAGAATACGGGAGGTGGGGAGGGCGGGGTGTTAAATACATCAGCCCAGAAATGCAGAGAAGAGCAGTTAAACATTGGCAATACATCAGATTTGTTCTCTTCATCTGGAAGAGGAAAAGATTTCCAAGGAGGAGAGTGCAGGTTCCTGCTTGCAGCAGACTTACCTTGGACATGCCCTTCACTTGCAGGAATGGAGGCAGCCGCCTTCCTCTCAGACAAGGCTGCTGCTGTCTCAGTGGTGGAAAAAGATGAGTTCCCTTTCCAGAAAACGCTGGGTCCTCAGGTCGGAGGCGTTTGCATGAAGGTTAGGAGAACGTGATGCTGATTTCTAGGATGGAGAACATGCGCTATCTAAACAGCCTTGTTATCCACGACTAGCTGGGAAATCCAGCCTTTGCTCTGAGTCACAGCCCTGCGTGCCTAGCCGCCCTTCTGACAGCTCACTGAGGGAGCTGTGCACACACACCTCACATTTCCCAGCTCGATTCCGTCCCCAAGCCCCATCTCTTGCCAGGCCCACCTCATGCACCAGTCCTGGCTGGGAGAGCAGAGCAAAGCCAGGCTTCCAGCACGCCTTGTGCCAGCTGGGGAAGCAAATGAAACCTCTCTGCTGCCTGGAGCAGCAGCTAAGCTGCCTGCCTGGGTTTTGGCTGGATGGCTGCTGCTTTTACCAGCCTGGAATTTCCTAGTGAATACTCAAACTAGCTTCCTTTTCCTTTTCAGATGCTGCAAAATAACGGGGTGAAGTTTTACACGAAAACAGAACTCTGTGAGCTGAAAGGGAAGGATGGAAAGGTCAGCCATGCTGCTGGGATCCCTGAACTGCTAATTTTAGCCTCCCCCCTCAACTGAGGTGTATCCTAGTGCCTATGTCTAGGCTTTCTCATCCCGTGTCTAGACCCTTGTGTTTCTTTTCATTAAGCATAACTCTAGGCTCAAAAGGTACCAGTATGCCTTCCTACCTTAGGGGCAACAACTTGATTTTCTCTTACATTCCTGGCAACACACATTTTCTGGACAAGGTGATCTGAGCCTGTGGAAATAAAAAGACAGCACAGAACGAGGCAGCAGGGAGTCTGTGGGAATTAGGACAGTTTTTAACTCTTTGTTAATGATTTTTGCTCCTTTCCTAGGTCACAGAGGCCATTATTGCCAGTGGAAAAAAAATACCTGCAGATGTGGTGGTGCTGGGAATAGGTAAGCAACCCCAGCTGGGAGAGGGAGACAGGTTTGGAAATAGGGAGAACAGCCAGCAAATCCTAGCTTAACCCTTCCCAGAATACTGCTCCCCTCTTCCCATTCTGCCATCATCCAAACTTTCCTTTTGGCCCCAAATCACCCTAAGAAAGTCAGCAGCCCACGAGTAATCACTCGGCACGAGGAAAGGAGCTACTTATGGTCTCGGTGTGACTTTGGCATGCTTGTTGAGCTCTGTAGGTCACTGCTGTGTTATCGGAGCGTGCTTTGTTCTGGGGCCTGGTTTTATTGTTGCTGGGTTAGGTCAGCACCAGCCCAACCGCTGGTCACTGCCGTGAGCTGCTCTGGTCTGAGCAGGCACCAAAGGCACGTGCTTGCTGTAGGGCCACTGGCCAAGTTTCCTCCTTGCTTTTGCAGAGCTTTGCTGCATTTGTCCTTGCTCCTTTCCCTGCAGGGGCGTTGCCCAGCTCTGAGTTTCTGAAGGGCACCTCCATCGCCAGAGACAGCAGCGGTGCCATCCTGGTGGATCTGGTAAGTGCCAGCAGAGTAGCTGTGGTCCATGCTGAATCCCTTCTTTCTCCTCATTGCACTAATTGTTTTTTTTTGTCTCATTAGTGCATGCAAACCAACATCCCCAACGTGTTTGCTGCGGGGGATGTGGTCTCCTTTCCTGTAGCGCTGCTCGACGGGGAGCGTTCCAGCATCCACCACCAACAGGTGGCCGAGGCTCACGGTGAGACAGTGCGGCTCCGTGCTTTCCAGCTCCCCTCACAAACGGGTACCGAGGGAATAGAATCACAGAAACTTCAAGGTTGGAAAAGATCTTCAAGATCATCTGCTCCAACCATCCCCTTACCACCAGTGTCACTACTGAACCACATCCCCAAGCACCGCGTCCAGCTTTCCCTTGAATACCCCCAGGGATGGTGACTCCACCACCTCCCTGGACAATCCGTCCCAGTGCCTGACTGCTCTTCCTGAGAAGAAATGAGGCAGAAGGGACAACAGGATAACAAGATGTAAGGGGCACTGCCTGTCAGCTACCCAGGCTCGGCCTGGGCGGGAAGGGTTTGTGGCCCACACAGAAAACCACCTTAGCTAGGCAGCACTGCAGGTACACTAAGCAGAGAGCTGTTTCTTCAGAAACAGCTTACACAAAGACAGTCCTGGGGTGAAGGAGGAGAAAAAATACCTCTTCTGGCCCACTCTTTGGTGAGTCCAGATGCAGGCACAGTGCAGCTGCACATCAGCTCTTAGCAGGAATGATTGAGGCCCTGAGAAGCCAGAGCAGAACGTGGTACTGAGATGAGCAAGCTTAAGATTCAACTTCTCAAATCACCCAAAAGAAACAAAAATGTTTACCCTGCTGGTCCACCACAGGTTCCATTGCTGCCCTTAACATGCTGAAGAAACAGAAGGCGTTGCACACTGTCCCCTTCTTCTGGACCACAATGCTTGGGAAAAGCATCCACTACGCAGGTAGGATGGGGCAGAGGGATGTGAGGAGCTGAACGGCTTCCTAGCGGAGCTGCTCATCCACCAGGTGGGCCCAGGGCTTATAAACACACAGCTCTTATCCAGGCTGCAGCAAGGAGCAGCTGTAATTTACCTGAAATGCTCAAACTTTGGAGTAGTGGGGTTAGGAATCCTGTCTGAGCCCTGTGCCAGCAGGTTACACACAGCTCTTGGGTTTTGCCGATCTCCAGTGGCTTGGAGGTCACGAAGGAGGAAGATTTTCCCCATCCAAGTCAAGCAGGGTCTTGGGGTGATGACTCTGGGTCAGTTCTGCCTGCACTGGTGGTGGCACTGCGGTGGGGTGGGCGGCAGCGGCTGACCCAGGGCTCCCTGACCAGCTGCTGCAATCCCCTGCAGGCTGCGGGAAGGGATTCACAGACACCGTCGTGAAGGGCAGCTTGGAGCAGCAGAAGTTCCTGATTTTTTACATCAGGTGAGTGAATCCACAGCCAGCCTGTGCCCCGACACTGGTGGCGCTCTGGAAACGGGGCACTGGCCTCTCCCTCACAGCCTGCAGAGCGTCCCACAGCGGGGACACGGCTGCACATCACCCTCCCGGGGCTGTGCATTTTTTCCCTGAAAACCAGCAGGGAGACAATTTCAGAGCAAAACAAGCAGGGTAGGCACGGAGAAGAGGCTGAGCTTCCAGCACCTTCCACAGGAGATCTGACACAAGCCACGCTGCCCCATAACCGAAACGGGAAAAGCCAGCACTGGGATGGAGACACCAGCTGGGCAGGGAGCCTGGGACACGTCTCCTCTCCCTCTACCCCTAGACTCGGTGCCCAGCCCCAGGAGATCAGCTGCAAGTCCTTGGGCACCCTGAGGCATCGGCCACCCTGCCCTGAGCCTCCCAAAACACATCTGGCCTGGGGGTGGCAGGGGGCTGCTGCCCCGCTGAGGTATTTGTGCTGAGATCCACGTCCTTCTGCTTTCTCCTTCAGGGATGGTTTCGTGACCTGCAGCTGCCAGCCTGAACTGTGACCCCATGGTGTCTCTGATTGCAGAAGTTTTGTACTCAGGGAAACGAATCTCTAAAGAAGAAGCAGAGTAAGTGGCACCCCGAGCGGCCCGGCTCTGAGCTGCCTTCCCTGTGCCCCTGGAGACACAGAGCTGAGGGGATTTACTGCCCTATCCCCAATGCACCTCTCCTTTACAGGGCCTGTGATATCAACCAAATACCCCTGCTGACAGAAACCTGAGCTTCGTAGCAAGGGGAACGGCATCACCCAAGGGTTACAGCTCAACCTTCTCCCAAACTAGCACAAGAGAAATAAAGTAGAAGTGGATTTAGCATGGATCCAGTGCCTGCATTTTGTGTTTGCAGACAGCCCTTGGCTGCTCTTTGTGTGCTGGGGCAAGAGGGAGCTGCACTTTCCCCTCTCTTCTAGCTGGGGATCTGCTGGGCTGGACGAGAGGAGGCTGCCCACGTCCTGGGATCTGAGTAAGCAGCAGGGACCGCATGTTCCCAGCTCCAGCAGCTCCAGCAGCCCGTCCTGCTCCTCCAGCTCGCTGCTGGCAGGGAGCTTTCAGCGAGCACACCGGTCATGCTGACCTTCTGCTTTGCGAAAGCACATTATCCCAGCGAGGGGAGCTCTGACTGAGGCAAGCTGCTGCTCCCACAGCTGGGAAGCAGAGAGTCAGCCCGCGGGAGCTCACGCCAAATACCTTACCCCTAAGGACAGAGGGCTGCGAGCCGACCTCTGAGCGAGCAGCACCTGCTGGCATTGCTACAGAGGGCTTGAATATTGCATTAGCTGCCGCAGCCAGCGCTTCCCACCCCCTCCAGCCCCGGGCAGAGAAGCCCCAGCCTCGCGTGGCATCCCCCCAGCTCGCAGACAGGGCTGGAGGAGGTGGGCAGATGCTGCAGGAAACGCACGGCCTCGGTGCCGGAGGAAAGAGTTGGTAGATTTTGCAAGGCAGCAGCGAGCAAGCCTGGGCTTTCTACAGGAAGCACTGCACTTACTCACCGGTCACATGGCGCCTCGCAGGAGGAAGGGTAAGCCCTGAGAATCTAGCAAGTTCCCGCAGGGACACTTTGTCAGCCTGAAATCCCTCCGTTTTTATATTAACCAGAGCAGGGCCGAGCCCGCTCGCTCAGCAGGTGAGATGCTGTAACGCCATTTTTCTGTTAAATTGCCTTAAACACACAAATTTGCACTCCGACACCTCCTGATTTGGGAAAGCTGACCTGAAATACTGCGGTTTCACCTTCCTGACCTCAGGGGGCTCGGTGCTGCTGCTCGGGGGCAATTCTCTACCCCAAAACAGCCATAGCTTCCCGGGGAAAGGGCTGGATTTGGGTAGAGCACATCAGTCCTTCGCGGTGACGGGAGGAAGCAGCAAAGCCAAGCGCTCCCCGTGAGCTGAGACACCCTGCTGCAACGCACAGAGGGGGGGCACAGCCCAGGAGCTTCTCCTCCTTGCCCTCGGGCTGCCCTGAATACTCTCACCATCCCTTTTAGTCCCCCTCGGTGCACTCCGGGGTGTGCTGAGCAGGTGCCAGCTCTTTCGGATGAGCTCAAAGCAGCTGGGGTGGAAGAGCCCGGCTCGCCTCAAGCCTTAGGTGTGCTCCCATCCCCACCCAAGGGTGCTCAGCCACCCCGTTCTCTCCCGGTGACGCTGACCCCAAAGGAACTCGGCTTCTCGTAGCCACCACCACGCACACACCGAGCACAGCAGCTTTTAATCAGCACGAAGGACGCTGCGACGACAGATTTTTTCCCATTGAGGTGCCAAAATTCAGTAGCGGCCCTGCTGCGGGCACCCAGCCTGTTGAAATTGTGCAGCCTTATTTCAGCACAAGGCCATTTCCCCTTGTACAGGTGCCCAGCACCCTGTGGGTGATACCACCTCCAGCAGGCTCCCAGGAGCCCTCCTTGGGCTCGCCCGTGGACATTTCACCCAGCACCAGGGCACGGGGCGAGATCCACCGGGGAAAAGGTGAGCAGGGAGCTGCGTGAGGCCGAAGGAGAGCCTCCATCATCACAGAGCAGCTCCCTTTCAGGGGCTTTTTTCCACCTCTGCCCCACAGAGAAGCAGAGCCCGGACCACAGCTGAACCAAAAAGGTTTCACCCAGACCTCTCCTGAGCTGCCACAACCCCACAAACACACAGCTCCAGCCGGGAGGGCACAGCACAGCAGCGCCCAGCCCGCACCCCAAATTCCTGAGGCCCCGGTGCTGCCCTACAGGGCTGGCAGCAGGCGGGCACCCAGCCCGGGGTGGCCGTTCCCGAGCAGCCATCTGGGGCCGTGCGTGACTCGGCCCTGAGTCAGCGGCTCCGCAGGGCCCTGCCCCCGGCACACCCAGCCATGAAAAGGGCAGCGTGAGCCAGCTCCGGCCCGCTGCCGGTTTTTTTTGCGAGGGTAATCCCGCTGCCGTGGCACGGCACCGCAGGTCAACCCCGTGTGGGACAGCTCCGATGCCACCACCCCGTCCCTGCCACCCCACGGGGACAGCTCGCGGTCCGCAGCCACCATCAGGCAGGTCCTGAGCCCACCCGGGCACCCCGCAGGTAACAAAGATCCTACAAACGAGCTGTGGAGGAAAACAGAAAGTTTAATGCCTCTTTCCGAGCCTTCTCCTGCTGTCCCAGCTCAACGCCACCCCCCCGGCCGGCGGGGACACCCCGCTCCCCGTTTTACAGCCCCGTTTTTACAGCTCCTCCAGCCACGGCTCTGCCTGGATGCTGCCGGCTGCGCTCTTCATCCCCGCCCTCCTCATCCTCGGCTCTCGGAGGGGTGAGCCCGCAGGACGCCGCTGATCCCGGTCCCTCGGGTTGCACCTCGGTGACGAGAAGAGAGGGGCTGCATTCAACAGTTCTTCAACTGGCAGCTTTAGCTACTAGAAGAGGACATAAAGCTTGCCACTGAAGAACTGGTGCTGGGCAGCCAGGAGCAGGGCAGCGGGGCGGCAGCTGGGGAGGGAAGAAAAGCGTCAGAAATGGGATCGACGGCGCAGGGATGCCGCCCAGCCCAGCTCCTCCCCACCTTCACCCACATCCCGGGGTCTCCCCATGCCCCAGGGGACACGGAGGGGACATGGAAGCAGCTCCGAGCTCCCCCCATCCCCCCTCTCCCCAATCCCCCATCCCCAATTCATCATCTTCACTCAGGAACGGGGACATCCCAGGGTCTCCCCAAGCCCCAGGGGACATGAAGGGGACATGGAAGCAGCTCCGAGCTCCCCGCATCCCTGCTCTCCCCAATCCCAAAGCCCCAACCCACCACCTTCGCTCAAGGGGGGGGACATTCCTGGGTCTCCCCCAGCCCCAAGGGACACGGAGGCAGCTCCAAACTCCCCCCATTCTTCCTTTCCCCCACCCCAGAGCTCTGATTCACCACCTTTGATTGGGGAGGGGACATCCCAGGGCCGCCCCCAGCCCCAGGGGACACGAAGGGGACATGGAGGGGACACGGAGGCAGCTCCGAGCTCCCCCCATCCCCTCCTCTCCCCCATCCCCGTGCCTCCCCCAACCCCATGGGACACAGAGGGGACACAAAGGCAGCTCCAAACACCCCCAGCCCTCCTTTCCCCCACCCCAGGGCCCTGATCCATCACCTTCACTCTTGGGGGGGGACATCCCAGGGTCTCCCCCAACCCCATGGGACACAGAGGGGACCCGGAGGCAGCTCGGATTTCCCCCTTTCCCTCCCCTTTCCCGCAGCAGGACCTCGGGCACCCGCAGCCAGCCCCACACCACGCAGGAATCCGAGGCCAATTCCCGCTGGGAACCGAGCCACACGGAAACCCCCTCCCACCGCACCGGGCTGCGAGGCCACCACGGGGGGGATACGGGGACGATAATGGGGACGGGGACAACGGGGACAGGGGGGGCAGCAGGTACAGGTTACGGCGTTCCCCGGCCTCTCACCTCAGGCATCCGCGTGCTGGCAGGGTCCCACCTGGCCGGGGGCCAGCCGCCGCCGCCTGCCAAGGAAGACACTTCGTCAGCCGCCGCCGCCGCCGGGGGGAATTTGGGGAGCGCAGGAGCCCTTCAACAGCCCCCCCCATAAACCCAGAGCCCCCCCTTTTCTCCCTTTTTCCCCCCGTTTTTCTAATTTGGGGGAAAAAATCCCGTTTTCTGCCACTCCAAATCTCTCAGCGCCTCCCCAGCCCCAATTTTTGGGATTCCGCTGGCCCTCCCAAGCAGCCGGCTGAGATTTGGGGGAAAACGGCGTTAATTCGGGGTCGGGACCACCCTGGGGAACGCACCCCTCAGCATCCTCCCGCCGCCCCCTTTTTCCCCATATTTAACCCCAAAAATAAAGGATTTGGGGCTGGAGGCTGAACCCCACGGGGGGGGGATCCCTATGGGGGGGGGGTCGGGGGGTGCTCACCGGGTTTTTGGGGTGGTGGCGGAGGGGCCGGGGGGGGGGGGGGGGGGGCGGCGGGGAGATGCCGCACATTCCTGGCGTGCCGGGTCCATCTGCTCCGGATTCCAGCGCCGGTCCCGGCCCTGCTCCACCCCCGCCGGGGCCGTGAATCAGCACCGGGAAGGGGAAAACGGGGCGGGGGGGGGGGGAAGAGGATAAAAAGGGGGAAAAAAAGAGAAAAAAAGAGGAAAAAAAGAGGAAAAAAAAGGAGAGGGAGGGAGGAAAAGAGGCCGGGACCGGGGTTACCGGGGAAGGGGCACCGGGGCTGGGCTCCCCCAGCCCACCCCAACCCCCCCCAGGATCTGTGGGGAGCCCCGGGGGGGGCTCGGGGACCCCCTCCCGGTGCTGTGCCCACCGTAGGGGTCCCCGCCCGGTTCCCCCCCGGTTCCAGCCCCCCCTTTGCCGGTAACCGGTGCCTGCCCCCGCCCCGTTCCCCGGGATGCTCCGCTCCGTGCCCCCCAGGGCAAAGTCTGCCCCGCCCGGCCCCGTGCTGAAGGTCACCCCCCGGGGAAGGGGGGGGGGGGGTCGGGCACACAGCCCCAGAGCGGCCCCGCCCGCCCCTTCCCGGTACCGGCCACAGCTCCCCGCTACCGGCACCGCCACCGCCACCCGCACCCCGCCCGTTAAACCCCACCCTGAGGGGGGGTTGGGGCAGGACGGGACCCCCGGTGCCCCCCCGGTTCCCCCCCCACACCCCCCCATAGGGAAGGTGACCTTCCCGGTACGGCACCGGGAGCCCCGGGGCTCCCTCAAACCCCAGCCCCGGGTGGGACCCACCTGAGTGCGAGCCGCTCCCGGCGCCCCCCGCTCCCGGTGCCCCCGCTCCGAGTGGGTTCAGCCCCGGCACCTCCCAGCCCCCCCCCCCCCCCCCTTCCCCTCCCGGCTCCGCCGCCGCCGCCGCCGCCGCCTGGGCCGGGCCCCGCGGAGCCATGACGCAGCCACCCACCGGCCCCGCCCCCTCGCCGCCTAAGCCACGCCCCCTTTCTCAGCCCCGCCCAATAGGCAGCCGGCTCTGCCCGCCGCTCGGCCAATCGCAGCGCGCAGCCGGCTCTTCGCCCCGCCCACCCGGCTCCTCGCGGCTCGGTGCCGGCCGGCCCGGCGGTTGCCAAGGAAACAGGCCACGCCCACCCCATCCCCGCCGAGGGGTATGCTGGGAGTTGTAGTGCGGCGCGGGGTTCCCAGCATGCACCGCGTGCTGTGAGTTGGCATTTTCCAGAGGGCGAAGAGGCGGCGGGGGAGGGGAGAGGGGAGCCGCGGGGGGCGCGCTTAAAGGGCCCGGCGCCGCTCGGTCCCCGCGGGGCGCGGCGCTGCCTTGCCCCGGCCGCCCCCTCCCTGCGTGCCGGGGCGGCGCCTTTAAGGGCTGGCGCCGGCCGCTTCCCAGAAGTTGCCTCAAGTCGGCAGCCAATCACAAGTGAGCGCCGGGGGCCGCCAGCCAATGGGAGCGCGGCGGGGGCGGGGCGGCGCGAACCCGCCTGACCCCGCGGCTTGGCAGCGCGGCGCGATGACTGGACAACTTCTTTAAAGGGGCCGCGCCCCCACCCCTCGCTGTGGGCCCACCCGAGCGGGCCGGGCCCCTAGCGCCCGCCGCGACTCCGCGGGAGGCCCCGGAGCCTTCCCCCAGCTTCAGCCTCGGCCGTCGCCAGGCGCTGAGCAGGGTGCGGGGAGGTGCTGGGGGAGCGGCGCGGCCCCTTTAAGGCCGCCCCCTGCCCTTCGCCCCAGTAACAGCTGATTGCCGCGCGCGGGGGGGCGGCGGGCCAATGGGCTGCCTGCACGTCCCGCCCACGTGACTCCCACGCGGCGCTGCCCGGCGGGAGCCTCCCGCCGCCTTAAAGGGGCCGCGCGGGGCTGGAGGGAGGAGGGGAATCGGGACCGGCTGCGGGGCTGCTCCCGGAGCCCGGAGCGGCCCCCGCGGGGCGGAGGAGGCGGCGGGGCCCTGCGGGCCCTGCGGGGCTCGGGGCCAGGCAGCGCCCGGCTGCTCCCATGGGGGCCGCTCCCCTCTCACCTCACACCATTCCCCAGCACCCAGCGCACGGAGCCCCCTCAGGCAGCCTCTGAGCACCCGCGGGGACCCCGGGGGCGGCCTCACCTCACCCCGCGCCGCCCCCCCGCCCTTTTTTTAATCACTCACCTCGGTGGGGCCCACCCCGGGGGCCTCCCTCCCCTTGGCGCTCGGGGCGGCCCCCTTTAAGGCCGGTGCCTCGGCGGCGCGCCCGGCTCCAGCTGACAGCCCGGGGGCGCCGCTGACGTCACGGTGACCTCAGCCAATCGCGTCACGCCGCCCGCATGCCCATATATGGACGGGCTCTTGCGCAACACCCCCCCCCCCACTGCCCCCCCCCCCCTCCCGGTGTCCCCCCCCCCCCCCTCCCCGCCCCCCCCCCCCCCCCGGTGGCGGCCGCTGGGGGGAGCCCGGCCCCAGCCTTGGGGGGGGGGGGGCACGGAGCCTTCCTCCCCCTCCTCCTCCTCCTTCTGCCCCCGCTGCGGGAGCTGCAGCAGCCCCGGGGGGGGGCTCCCGGTTGATGCCCCCGGGGGTGGGGGGGGTCCCGTTGTGCCCCGTTTTTTTTTCCGCCCCCCCCCCCCAAATTATCCCGGCCGCATGTGACCGCCGTCACCTGACCAACATGGCCGGGGCCGCCCGCCGCCGCTGAGCCCGCTGCTGCCGTCAGGTAACGCCGGGAACGGCGGCAGCGGGGCCCCCCCCGGCCCTACAACCCCCCCCGGGCCCTATACCCCCCCCCCCACCCCCATCCCCGTACCCCCCGCACCGGCCCCGTGGCCCCGTTCCCCCCCGTGCACCCCCCCCCGGTCTTATCTCGCCCCCCCCGGGCTCGTCTCGCCCCCCCAGGATGGTGGAGCCCCCCCCAGGGTTTGGGGTCCTTTGGGGTTTTTTGTTTTTTTTGGGGGTTCTTTGGGGTTCTGGATTTGCCCCCCCGGTGCCGCCTCTCCCCGCTCGCCCCCAGCCCAAAGGGCCCCGGGGTGCTCGGTGCTGTGGGCCCCCCCCCCCCGTGCTGCCTGATACCGGCACTGAGGCTGCTGAGGGCCCCTTGTGCCCCCCCTGCAGCCCCTCTCGGTCCCTTCTTGGCCCCCTCCATCCTTTCTTGGTTCCCTCCATCCCCATTTGGGTTCCCTCCATCCCTTCACAGCCCTTTCTGTCCTCTCTCCGTCCCCTTCCACCCCCTCGGTCCCCTTCCATCCTTCTTGGCCCTCTCCATCCCTCTCAATCCCTTCCATCCCCATTTGGTTCCCCTCCATCCCTTCACCCCCTCCATCCCTCTCAGTCCCTTTCCATCCCTTCTCAGTTCCCTCCATCCCCTCTTGGTTCCCTTCCATCCCTTCGCGGTCCCCCTCCATCCCCTCTCTGTCTCCTTCCATCCCCTCTTGGTTCCTCTCCATCCCTTCACAGCCCCCTTCATCCCTGTGTCCCCTCCATCCCCTCCCCAGTCCCCTTCCATCCCTTGTTGGTTCCTTTCCATCCACTGTGTCCCCTCCATCCCTTCTTGGCCCCTCTCCATCCCCTCAGTCCCTTCCATCCCCTCTTGGTCCCTTCCATCTGTCCCCTTCCATCCCTTCTTTCTCCCCTCCATCCCTCCTCAACCCCTCCAGCTGTCCTCTTAGGCCGCGCCCCTCCAAGCACCTTGGAGAACAAGAGGGAACCGGGGGGGCTCCAGGGGCTCACGGGGACAATTTTGGGCTCCGTGGGGACGGTGCCACACTCCCTATGCTCACCCCCAGCCCTTTTGGGGCCGCCTTCCCTCTCGCAGCCGCCATGGAGGCCTTCCTGCGGAGCGTGGAGAGGGACCTCAACATCGACCGCCGGCAGCTGGCGGCCGCCGCCGAGGGGACGCACGTCACGGCGCTGGTCCCCCAAAAATGGCTGGGCAGCCTGAAGGAACGCCGCGTGCTGCCCGGCCTGTGCCCGCGACCCGAAGGGCTGAGCGAGGTGGAGGTGAGGACGTTCCTCCAGCGCTCCGTGCAGAAGCTGCCGGCGGGCTGGACGCGGGTGGAGATCCACGGGTTGAGGAAGGAGCGCTTGGCGCAGCCCCTCCGCGTCCCTCCTGTCGTCGTCGAGCCCCGAAATGGCGGCCCCGAGACGCTGCACGGCTTCATGCACCGCGTGGCCTCGCAGAATTACCGCAACCTTTGGGGCCGGGCTCACGGCCGCTACGTGCGGCCCTACCGGCACGCTCACGCGCCGCCCGCCGTGCTGGCCCTCGACGCTCTCCGGGCGGCCCTACAGAAGGCGTACGGCTGCCCCGTCCTCCCGGTGGGGAAAAACGTGCCCGGAGCTTCCCCTGCTAAGGAGAGCGCGGCGAGGGGCAGCCCCTCCTGCCCCAACGTCCTGCAAGCCGAGGCGCTGCTGGAGTCGGCCGAGATGCTGTATGTTGTCTACCCCTACGTGCAGTACTGCCTGCACGACATCGTCACCTTCAGCCCGGCCAAGCTGACCAACAGCCACGCCAAAATCCTCTTCCTCCTCTTCCACGTGCTGCAGGCCATGAGGGCCTGTCACCAGGCGGGGTTGGCTTGCGGTGCTTTCTCCCTGCACGACGTGGCGGTGGATGAGAAGCTCTGCAGCCGGCTCCGGGTGAATTTCAGGGAGTACGAGGGGCCCGGGAAGGAGGAAGCCAAGGTGGAGGCTGGGTTGGAGAGGCTGAGCGAGCAAAACGGCACCGGGGCACGAGAGGAGGCGGTGAGGTGCTCCACCTGCCAGAAGGAGCTCCGGGACCTGGTGTTGCAGTGGGTTCACGGGCGGGTGAGCAACTTCGACTACTTGATGCGTTTAAACAGCTTGGCTGGGAGGAGAATGGGAGACCCCAACTACCACCCGGTGCTCCCCTGGGTGGTGGACTTCACCACCAAAAACGGCAAGTTCAGGGACCTGAGGAAATCCAAATTCCGCCTCAACAAGGGGGACAAGCAGCTGGACTTCACCTACGAGATGACCAAGCAGGCGTTCGTGGCTGGCGGGTCAAGCGGGGAGCAGCTCCACGTCCCCCACCACATCTCCGACGTCCTCTCGGATATCACCTACTACGTGTACACGGCTCGGAGGACGCCCAAGTCGGTGCTGTGCTGCCACGTCAGGTCCCAGTGGGAGCCCAACGAGTACCCGGCCAGCATGGAGCGCATGCAGAGCTGGACCCCGGACGAATGCATCCCGGAGTTTTATACCGACCCCTCCATTTTCCGATCCATCCACCCAGACATGCCCGACCTGGACGTGCCGTCGTGGTGCAGCTCCTACGAGGAGTTCATCGAAGTCCACCGCATGCTGCTGGAGAGCCGGGAGGTGTCTCAGGACCTCCACCACTGGATCGACCTCACTTTCGGGTACAAGCTGCTGGGGAAGGACGCCGTCAAGGAGAAGAACGTCTGCCTCCACCTGGTAGACAACCACACGCACCTGACCACCTACGGGGTGGTGCAGCTCTTCGACCAGCCGCACCCCAGGCGCATGGTGGGACCTGCCTACACGCCCGCCGAAGCTCCGGCCATCGCTCGGCCCCTGCTGCAGAACATCAGGGAGGCCGTGGTTTTGGAGGACATCCAGGGCCCGGTGACCGACGCAGTGAACGGGCTGGTGCTGGAGGCTACTCCCAGCGAAACCACCTGGGCTGGTGAGAAATCCGTCGGCGGTGAGGATGATTTAGAGCAAGGCACGGAGGCCCTGGATTCGATTTCTGCACCAGGCAGGGCTCCTGATCAGCCCTGCCCCGCCGTGCCTGCAGCACAGCCCCCTGCCCTCCCTGCTTATGCTGCTGAAGGCAAGGCCTCGGGGGTCCGGCCCCTCCGCCGGAGCAAGGCGGGTGCTGTGGATCAGGCCGACAGGGAGGAGGTGAAGATCTCCCTGCCCGAAGGCTTCAATCCTCTCCAAGCCTTGGAAGAGCTGGAGAAATTGGACAATTTCTTGGTGAAAGGCTTGAGCAGCGAGATGCAGCTGATGGAGCAGCCCTGGGAGGAGCCGCTGCTGGGTCTCTCGGACCTCTTCCAGCGGGACATGCAGGCGCTGGGCATTTTGGTGGCTGAAATCATCTTTGCGCCGAGGATTCGCCCCTCGAAGCCCGACGCGTCCCTGCTGGAGCGGTTCCTGATGGTGCGCAACCTGTGCCGCTACCACCCCAAGGAGATCCCGGCCCCGCTGCAGCACGTGCTGCACGTCCTGCTGCAGCTCAGCGTGCCCGTGGAGAAGCTTCTCAAACCCAGGCTGGGCAAGGGCACGGTGCAGCTCTTCGAGTACAAACCCATCTCCCAGGGCCTGCCCCCGCCGTGTCCCACGCAGCTCCTCAGTCCCTTCAGCTCCATCGTCCCCTTCCCCACCTACTTCCCAGCTCTGCACAAGTTCATCTTCACCTACCAGGCGAAGAAGGTGGAGGACGAAGGTGAGGGTCGGGAGCTCGTTTTCCAGCTGTGGCAGCAGCTGGAGGGGATCCTTTCCGAAATCACTCCCGAAGGCTTGGAGATCCTCCTGCCCTTCGTGTTGTCCCTGATGTCCGAGGAGAACACCGCCGTCTACGCGGCGTGGTATCTCTTTGAGCCTATAGCCAAATCCCTCGGCCCAAAGAACGCCAATAAATACCTGCTGAAGCCACTGATCGGCGCCTACGAGACCCCCTGCTACCGCCACGGCAGGTTCTACCTCTACACGGACTGCTTCGTGGCCCAGCTGATCGTGCGCCTGGGCTTGCAGTCCTTCCTCCTCAACCTGCTGCCCCACATCCTGCAGATCCTCGTCGGCATCGAGAGCTCGCGGGAGGAGAGCAAATCCCTCCTCGGCGCGGCGGAGGACGACGAGAGCGGAGGGGGCAGCCCGGTGTCGTGCGTGTTCGGGGAGGAGATCAAGATGGACGTGGAGCACGGCTCCGCCGCCCTCGACCTCCTCGACTACACCTCCGGCGTCAGCTTCCACGACCAGGCTTACCTGCCCGAGGGCGAGGATTTCCAGAGCGGTCTCTACGTCGGGGAGTCCCTGCAGCCGCAGGAGCAGGAGCTGCTGAGCCTGGGGCGGCTGAGCGACAAGAGCAGCGCCAGCGAGGTGTCGCTGGGCGAGGACAGAGCCGCCGACGGCGACTCGCAGAAGGACAAGAGCAGCCTCAAGTCCGTGGACAGCAGCCAGGACCTGAAGCAGAGCGAGGAGTCGGAGGAGGAGGAGGAGGAGCGCGAGGACGAGGAGCACGAGGACGCGGCGGTCGAGGCGGAGCTGGCGGTGGCCGTGGATGGCGGCGCCGCTGGGGACGCTGGCGCCTCCGTGGATGTCACCCTGGCTGATGACAGCAGCGAGCCGGAGGATGGGGAGGGAGAGGAGCTGCCGGACCACTCGGATGACAAAGAGCAGAGCATACTCCTGGGTAAGGCCCCGCTGGGGTTTGGGCTCTCTGCTGGGTGTGGCAAAAAAACAGAAAAGCAGAGAGGGAGAGAAGGGGGGAGCCAGACCCGCTGTGGAGAGGTGGATCCAGATTTGGGGGTCTCTCTTGTCCCATCTCGGAGCCACCCTAAAGGTCCGATCCCGCTGAAGCGTGTGGACCTGGCATGGCTTTGGGGCTGCAGCAGGAGGCGTTTTGGGGTGAAAGCACGGCTTTCTGCAGTTTGCCAACAAACCAGAGACCTGGGGAGCCACCTGCGGGGCGGGCAGGGTCTGGGAAGCGCCGGGTGATAACCAATCTGTGCCTCGCCGGGCTCTGGCCTTGCGACTGTTTGTTGTTTTGCAGACACAGCCTGTAAGATGGTGAGGTGGCTCTCGGCCAAGCTGGGTCCCACCGTCACCTCCCGCTTCATCGCCAGGAACCTGCTCCGTCTGCTCACGTCCTGCTACGTGGGTAAGGTCTGCTCCTCACAGCCCGGGGTCCCCGGGGTGGGCTCTGCGGGGTGCCTCGTGGCTGGGGCTTAGCCTGCTGCTGCTTCAGCTCGTGGTGTTGTCTCCGGGCAGGCCCCACCAGGCAGCAATTTGTACCGAGCAGCGATGAGAACGGTCCCCTGAGCACGGGAAATATCTACCAGAAGCGGCCGGTGCTGGGAGATCAGGTGTCCAAGCCGGTGCTGGCCTGCCTGGTGCACGTGGCGTACCTGTACGGAGAGCCTGTCCTCACCTACCAGTACCTGCCCTACATCAGCTACCTGGTTAGTATCGCCTTCTCCTCCTCTTCTGGTCTGTGGCGGGGTGGGAGCTTTGTTCAGGAATCCAGGAGGAGGGGAGAGGATGCCCAGAAAATGTGCTCCAGCCTCCTCCGTGAGAGCTGTGCTCAGCTGAACTCCCCCTGGGGCAGCGAGGGCTGAGCAGATCTCAATGTCAGAGCATGAGGGAGCCTTGGCAGGGAAGGGGCTGTGCTGGTGCAGCCGGGAGCGATGCTTTGAGCCCCTGCCATGAGCTCCAGGCTGCTTCCAGCCCAGGGCACGGCTGTGCACGGGGGCTTTGCTGCTCAGCGAGCCCAGGCCCCCGCGGATCTGCACCGAGCTGCAGGCTGCCGCAGCTCTTCCTTCCCCATTTCGGCAGTGGGCTTTCCCCGTCAGACCTTTTGCTGGCCCCTAGAGAAAAATATTCTCTTCTGCTTTGCGGGGCGAGCACGCTGAGATGGAGCTGCGACAACGGGCAGGCAGACTGTGGTGGGAGTGCTCGGGCGAGTGGTTTTACAGGGGATAGGCAGGGGGGGTGTCAAAGGAGCTTTTTTCATCCATATAAAAAAGCACTGGCGAGACTTCGAAACTTTTCATTTTAAAATTCTTAGCTGCATGGCAAGAAGAAAGTGTGTGTGTGTGATGCAGCTGCTTGAAAAACAAACCATTTGTCATTTTTTTTCCTTTTTTTTTTTTTTTTTTTTGAATGGTTTAAGCAGGCTTATTTTTTCACATCGCTCCTTTTTAGCGGTTAGAAACGCTCGGGCTACTGCTTGTTGTTCAAATGGAAAACCTCAATGGCTTTCGGATCGTTTCAACTCGCAGGGAAGGAGGCCACAGCTGCTCAGTTAAAGAAAACAAAAAAAAAAAAAGCGCTGTCAGTTTTTCCAGCGTGGAAGGGGAGATTTTTAAGGGGGGGGGAGGGAGGAAAAAAATCCTGTGTTTTTCAGCAAAATCGCTCTCCACCCAAACTGCGCTCGCGGCTCCAGCTGTGCTGCTCTGCTCTGCTCAAGTTATTGCTCGGGGGTGATGGGGAGATGAACGCTCCTGTGAATAGCGTTTGGCAACCCGATATAAAAGCACTGAAAGCGGAGGGTCACGACTAGGATAAAGTCAGTCCTTCCCGGAGGATTTGGCAGCTATTTTGCGAGGGGAAGAGCCTCTGTGATGAGCTGGAAGATGGCAGGTGTACAAGAAGTATAGTGGAAACCGGGAATTGTTTGCGGGTTTTGTTGTTGACTCTCTTCTGCTGGGCGTTTGGTTTGTCTAGGAGTTAGGAAAGAGAATCCAGACAAACCTTTTAGTCTTGCTGCTGGCACCGCGAGCTGCTTGGCGTTGCTGTAACCACCACGGGCACGACCTCAGCAAAAAAAGGATGCGCTCCTCTGCCTCGAGGAGCTGTTAGCAGCTGGGTTTCTCGAAGCTGGCAGGTTTGCCCGGGCTTTGTGCCTTGGATCTTTTCATGCAAGGACAGTTCCTCAGCAGCCTGCGCATCCAGGCATGACGTGGCATGAGATGAAGGCACTGGTTCTTGCTGCAAGACGCTCGACATAAGTTCCCCCTCCTCCTGTGCTGCCGAAGGATGCGGTGCCCAGGCTGGTGATGCTCTGGGCCAGTTCACAGTTGTCTGTCTCCCCTCTTGAGTTTCTCAGCCTCCAGGAGCGTTCTGCAGGGAGATGCCCTCCAGAAGACGTGCGCAATTTGGGGCTGTCCACTCCTCTCCAGGCTCCCTCTTTCTCCTTCCACCTGTCCTTTGGTTCAGGCTCACCCCTCGAGCTCCAGACCTGCGTCGCTGCTCAGGTTCCTCTCCCACAGGCTGTGGCTGGTGCTGGGCTTTGAGGCTGAGCTCAGGCGATCCTGGGATCACCCTCGATGTGTCCCGCTGGGGACGTGGTGGCCCCAGCACTGGAGGGACTCCTTTTGCAGGTCGCACCCGGCGGTGGGTCCGGCGGCGGGCGGCTGAACAGCAGGAAGGAAGCAGGGCTGCTGGCCGCGGTGACGCTGGCGCAGAAGATCGTGGTGTGCCTGTCGGACACCACGCTCATGGACATCCTCCCCAAAATCAGCCAGGAGGTGCTGCTGCCGGTGCTGGGCTTCCTCACTTCACTGGCCGTCGGGTAAGTGCTGCAGTAAGCGGTGTCTTCAGCCACAGCTTGCACAACGCAAAATCTGGGGTGTGGAAGTGGTACTGTGATGCTCCGATGATTTTGGGGGATTGTGGGGCTGTGCCTACCCAGGTGTGCACATCCTTGTGCTGGTCTGCAGTGTGTGCGTAGAGCTTGTGCTGCTGGAGAGCTGATAATGCCTGAAAACGTGATAAGACAGAAGGTGGGAAGCAGAGGAGGGGAAAAGGAGTATGTGTAGGACAAGCTGGTAAAATAGATGTCCTCTTCAGTTTCCCCAGCGGTGCCCAGGCCCGCATCGTCCTGTGCGTTAAGACAATCAGCCTCATTGCCTTGATCTGCCTGCGGATCGGGCAGGAGATGGTGCAGCAGCACCTGAGCGACACGGTGAGGAACTTCTTCGGGGCCTTCTCGCTGCTGCAGGAGCTGCAGGACCAGGTCAGTGATGTGCGAGAGGTGCTCCCTACACCAGCACTGGTGTCAGCAGCGCCCAGCCCAGGCCGTGTGTGTGTCATTATATGGTGAGAGCATCTGATTTGGGGAATTTTGCTGTTTTCTCCTGTCCAGGGATTGACGGCGGAGTCGCTGAGCAGCTGCGAGGTGCCGGTGATGGAGGTGCCCCTCTCGGATGGGAAGCTGCTGGCCCTGGACCCGGCGGTGCTGATGGAGTTACAGAAGGTGTTTAACCCTGAGATGGCCTACATCACCTACATCCCCTTCTCTTGCTTGCTAGGTACGGCTTGGCTCCCTCCTCCTGGGCTTTGCGAGAGCTCCTCGCTCTGTGCATGTGTGTGCAACCTCAATTGAACAGAAATCAGAGGGCAGAGGGCTGCTGGGGGAAACTCACAGCTTCTGCGTGGTGGCTTGGTCTGCTTGTGGTGTCGGGAACCCACCGGGACTTGAGGCTGCTTTGGCTGGGAACGGTGTTTTGGCTGCCTGGGGGGGTGTTGTGTTCGCGGCCCGGTGCTGCCCTCCCCGTTCTGTCGCTGATGGTAGGGGATGAAGGTGAGGAAATCCCTTCCCTGGAGCCGTGCTGTCTCTTTCCAGGCGATGTCATCCGCACGGTTGTGCCCAACTGCTTGCTGGTTGAGAAGCTGGCCAGCCTCTACCTGGAAAACGTGAACCCAAAGAGCCTGCAGGCGGTTAGTCTCGAGCAAGCGCCGAGCGTGGCGGGCTCGGACCAGGACACGCGAGGGTCCGAGCCGCCCCCCAGCCAGCAGGAGGACAGCCACTCCGGGACTTTCGGCAGCGTGCTGGTGGGGAACCGCATCCAGGTTCCTGTGGACACGCAGAGGGAAGGTCTGGGCTTGCTTCGCCTCGGTGCTGGCGCCGACGGCTTTATGCCGAGCTCGTCCAGCGAGGAAAACGCTCTGAAGCACGACCTGCCCCGCAGCACCCACATGCTGTGCGGCAACTGGCTGGCCTACTGGCAGTACGAGATCGGGGTGAGCCAGCACGACCCCCGCTTCCACTTCCACCAGATCAAGCTGCAGAGTTTCTCAGGGCATTCGGGGGCCATCAAGTGCGTGGCGCCGCTGGGCAGCGAGGATTTCTTCCTCAGCGGCAGCAAGGACAAAACCGTCCGCCTCTGGCCCCTGTACAACTACGGGGATGGCACCAGCGAGGTGCCGCCGCGGTTCACCTACTCCGAGCACAAAAAGTCTGTCTTCTACGTGAGCCAGCTGGAGGCATCGCAGCACGTGGTGAGCTGCGACGGCACCGTGCACATCTGGGACCAGTTCACAGGTAGGGGCTGGGGGTGAACTGGTCCAGTCCTTAAAGACAGGAAGATTCGTTATTGCGTGTTAAATACTGAATATTATATAAAAATTTTGATGGATTTTGCTAAAAACCAGAGTTTGGATATCTGCCGTGCAGCTTCTCCGTACGTTTCCTGCTGTAAGTGACCCGTCGTGTTTTCACAGGCAAACTTCTCCGGACTTTTGACGAGTTAGACAACAAGGTCCCCATCACAGCTGTCACCACCATGCCACCTCCCTACCACAGCATCTCCGTGGCCAGCGCAGACTCCGTGCTGCGTTTCATTGACCACAGGAAGCCAGGCCTGCAGGTAGGGAGCCTGTTGCTTTGCAAGCCAGCCTCCTTCAGCCTTCCCCATGGCTTCCATATGCTTAGTAAAGCGATCCTGGCTGGTCCAAAGCCAGCTGAGATGACTCCACAGAAGCCCCAAGGTTTCCTGTCCCCTAAATTCCTAAATCCCCTAGACCTTTAGCCCCTTGGTAACTGGTCTCTCTCTCTTGCAGCATGAGTTTCGCCTGGCCAGTGGGGTGAGCGCCGGGCTCATCCGCTGCTTGGCTGTCAGCCCTAGCGGGCGCAGCGTTATGGCTGGCTTCTCCTCTGGTTTCATCGTGCTGCTGGACACCAGGACGGGACTCATCATGCGGGGGTGGCCTGCCCACGAGGGAGACATCCTGCAGATCAAGGTGAGAGGTTCAGCTGGGGGCAGCGGGGGGCTGCTCCATGGGCCTTGCTGGTCCGTGGAGGGTGTGTGGAGCATCCTGACGTGTGCTGCTTGGCACAGCTCACCTGCTCCATCCTTCGGGCTTTCCTCCAGCCCTTGCTGTGTCCTTAAGGGGCTGCTCAGGCTCTCCTGCCCCGTGGTTTGTGCTACAGGCAGATGCTCTCAGTTCAACCTGTGCTGAACAGAGATCAGCCCTCCCAAGATCTGTATTGGGGCAGGGAGTAGCCACATGTCCTGTGAAGAGGCGAGCATGTTGCTTCTCCTCGGGGCTGTCAGCCCCTCTTGGAGAGTGTCGCTCTAATGAGTAACTCTTGTCCATATTTACCCATCCCCAGGGAGCAGCAATGGGGCTCCAGTGTCCTCGACCCAAATGCAGGTTAAGCAAAGTTCACCAGGGTGGGTTGTTTACCCTCTCACTAGCTCTGCTAATAAGCTCTCCAGGCTTCTATCTTAGCAGTGTTTTCTACTGAGAGCTCCCCAGTTCCTTGTCCACAAGAAGGAAAATAACTTGGCGGGTGGTTTCACAGAGAGGGGAGACCACGTGAAAATCTCTTTACCCACTGTAGTAGAAAGAGATAATGAATGAGCTGAGTATCAGCAGCTTGTTAGGAAGAGAGGCAGCCCATCTCTTGGGCACTTTGAGTGGTGCTGGAGGAGTTCACCAGCAACCTGAGAGTCCTGGAGCTTGTGGTGTCCACCTGGACGCCTTGTGAATACTGCTCAGTACTCTCAGCTGCTTGGAAATGTCTGGGGCTGTCCTAGGGGATTGCAGTGAGACCATTGGACTGTTGGCAGCTACCTGCTGGTAGCTTTTCCAGCATTTCCAGGGTGGGTTTGGGAATCTTTACTGCAGCAGTGTTGGTTCACTGGCGCTTCATCTCCACCAGGCTGCAGAGGGCAATGTGCTGATCAGCTCCTCTTCGGATCATTCCCTGACCGTCTGGAAGGAACTGGAGCAGAAACCTTTGCACCACTACAAATCTGCATCCGAACCCATCCACGCATTCGACCTGTACGGCAACGAAGTGGTCACGGGCACCGTGGCCAACAAGATCGGTGTCTACTCCATGCTGGAGTCCTCAGCCCTGCCCATCAGCACGACCAAGCTGAGCTCGGAGAATTTCCGGGGTACTCTGACCAGCCTGGCGGTGCTGCCCACAAAATGCCACCTCCTGCTGGGCTCGGACAACGGCGTGATACGCCTCCTGGCATAGCAGCCCCAGCCCAGGAGCTTGTGGCCATCCCACAGCTCCGGTTTGTAGAGCTGAAAGCCGGCAGTGCCGCTCGCAGAAGAGGCAGGGTTAGGTGTTCCCAAACGGACGGTGCAGGGGGGAGGTGTACTCGTCAGTGAGCACTTGGTAAAGCATCTCTAACCTCTTTCTCTATCTTTAAAAAAAAAGAAAAGAAAAAAAAAAAGAAAAGGAAAAGCCATAACTGAGAAACCTCCACTGCTGCTGGGAGAAGTACTGGGTGTTGTAGGTCACTGTCACCCCTGCAGAGAGGCCTGGAGCTTTCTGTACCACGTGTGCCTGATCCCCAGGGGACTGTGAGTTGCCCTCCAGAGAAATGTGGACCACGGGTGTCCTCCTTCCTTCCATTAGGGGGTAAGAGGCAGCCCTCGACACGAATACAACAGTTTAGCTACTGCCATCTGCACTTACCCTGCGCACTCCACCCCGACCAGCTGAATGGTCTTACTGGGATAGGGTAGGTGGGCGCTGCTGCGTGGTGCCAGGCTTATCCTCCTCCTCTGGTCTGTGGGTTCGAGGCCCAGAGGATGCACTCTGTTAACTCGAGGTTCTGCTGTCCAAGTGGGAGCCTGTCTGGGAGGAGGAGAGGTTAACTGGAGCACTCCTGTTGCCTTACTGGTCCCAGTGCCAGGTAGGAAGGCAGGAGCCTCGTGTCTGCTCCACGGGTTCATTTGGGAATGAGCTGCTGCAGAGGGGTTGTTTGGGACGTGACCCTCTGGAGAGGCCAGAACTAGGTGCTTCCAGCAGGGATTTTGCTTCTGGAGTAGAAAGGTGGGGATGGATTGTTGCTGGTTCCTGCCCCGGCAGCACTGCATCCCATAATTACCAGCAGGGTGAGGAGTGCTGCGTGCTGTGCGTTGGCAGAGGTTCTCAAGCAATTCCCTTCCTCATCCTCTCTCCTCTCCTGTGTGCTGGTGACTCCCGGGGAAGACAGAGCAGCAGAAGGGTGCTCGGTTCTGCCCCTTCTCACAACCCAGCACGGTCCCCTTCTGGCCTCCCCTTTGGGGCAGCCCTGTTTGCTCCCACTCCTCTGTAACCCAAAGGTGAGGACAACGCTCTTTGACCCGGCAGCAGGAGCAGTTGCCTCACTTCTCTTACAGCGCTTTTCCCATCCATCCTTCAGCCTAAGTCAGAGTCAGTATCAGGGGAATGGGAAGCTCTTGGGCAGAGGAGGAGCCTGCTGTGAGTTGTCCTGGAAGGGGAAAGGGCTTCCCCCAGCTGCCAGTCCCTCCGAGCCAGGGAGCTGGGCAGGCTGCCCTCCGCTTCCAGGAGGGTTGGGGAGCTGAGCGCTTGGTCCTGGCTATCCTGACCCAAGGGGAGCTCTCAGTCCCGCGTTGCCTATTAACCATTTGCAATAGATGTAAATATTTACTTCTAATAAACTCTTTGAAAGAGATGTGCAGAAGTGTCTGGGGGAGCGCTTGGTGCCGGGCTGGGGGGGCCAGGTGGCTCGGTGCGTTGGCTGCAGCTCTGCACTCATGGTCCTGGACGAAGGATGCTGCGAAGATGCCCTGGCCCTAAGGTAGGACTGCTGCACAGGGCTTGGATCTGCTTTCTGAGGGGAAGAAGCTCCCTGTGTTGCAGTGCCACGTCCCGAGGGAGTTTCGGGTTGCAGAGCACGGCTCCAGCCCCGTTCCCACTGCCTGGGGTGAGTTTGGAAACCGTGAGCTGGCACGGGGGAAGGATGACTGCAACTGCTGCAACCCTTAGGAACAGTCAGGCTGAGGACGTGGCTGCATCCCGTGCTGGGAAGCATCACTTATTTCTGCATGCGGCACAAAACAGGACAGCACTGCTGGAGTTCTGCCTGTCCCCAGGACTTTTCCTCCATCCCTGAGCAGTGCCTGCGCTGCTGGGCCAGCTGCTGCCAGGGCTCTGGTTCCTGCTGTGCCCCAGGGAGGCAGCAGCTGCTTTCAGATGCCCACCCTGCATGGGCCATGGCCACGGGGCCCTGGGCACCTGCTCGCTGTTAAAACCCGTGCCTGGTGCTCGCTGCAGCTGGGCTGCGGGGAGGAAACAGCTGAGGCTTCCCGCAAAGAGATTCCCAAACCAGAGAGAGCCCCGTGGCAGTAAACACCAAGCCCTAGGTTGTCACTGGAGTTATGAATAAAAGGGTGCATTCCCAGCACGGGGAGTGCACGGAAAGCAGAGCCTGGACAGCTGACTTCTCCCACTGGCAGAAATAAAGTTTCAGAGCTGGTAAACTCAAGGTTAATGCTGTTTTGAAGGTGCGGCAGCACAAAGCGTCTCCCCATCTCCAGGTACACCCCAGACTCACTCTTCTGCCCCAAACAAATGTTTAACCGGATGCTGTAAGTCAATATTTGCTTGCCAAATTCCCAAACAGGGGGGTGGTGCTGAAGGTCGCTCTCGGTGGGTCGGAGGGCTGGGCAAGAGGCTGTGCCCCACGCAGAGCCATCGGCCGGGCTGAAGCAGGTGCCAGCTCCAACGTGGACACCAACAACAGGTAAGGAAGGGGCAGGCAGAGGAGGATTTGATGAGAAACGGGGGCATTTCCAAGGAGCAATAGTGCTTTCCTGGGGGAGGGTGTAAACTGGCAGGGAGTTAAAGGACGGACGCTACAAAGTATGGGGTGTTTGGGGTCGTATGTGGCTGCGGGGTTTGGGGTGAGGGGCAATGCTGTGGTCTCAAGTTTTGCTGCTGGAAAAACGTGGAAAGCAGCCCCAGGAATTAAGCACACAGCAACCACGGCAATGCCTCGGTTGCGGATGGAGGATCCACGATGAGAGGGGTTTTTGAGAAGAGGGGTTACGTCTGTTGGAGCAGGAAAAGTAGCTGGTTGAAGCGGTGGCCAGGGGGAGGGTGGGGTTTCATCCACAGCCCTGGGAGCTCCCCCTGTCCTGTCCTGGAACTGAAGCTCAGGGGTGGGAGAGGCCGGGTTTGCCGGCAAAGGGGGAAGGCAAGTGCTGGGAAGGGGAGGACTCTCTATTCCCGGACTAATTGCTGATAAATTGCGCTGCTGTCGTGCTTCCTACCTGCAAATTCCCTCCCAGGCAGCACTTGCTGAGTGCCTGTGGCCCCGTAGAGGCAGGTGGGTATCCCTTATCCGAAGAGCTGGGGCACAGCTGGCAAAAGGACGCCGTGCCCACACCTCGGTGCCGTGCACAGGGAAGGAGCAGAGGCTCTTGTCTTCTCCCAGAGGCACAATGTGTGTAGGGCTGATTAGGGAAACACCATTTGCAATCCAGATGAATGAGGGTTTTGGGGTCAGAAATGCAGTTTCCAAGCAGGAAAGTGTCGTGCAAGAGCCTGGCTGTGGTTACAGCCCTGCTCCGCCACCGGTCCCCTGTTCCTCTCTGATTTCTCTGCCTTGGCGTTGGAGCCAGGAGTCCTGTGTTGTTTCTTTGCAGCATTGTTCATCTCCCTACTGCTTTCTGCAAGCTCCTGCGCCAACCTGTTTGGCCAGGTTGATAATTTTCTCCCTGTAGACCTGAATAAGCTCAGCTTGCTGCTGCCAGGCAGCTGGAAATAACTCCTCTCTCAGCTGGTCCTTCTGTTCCAGAAATATGGTGTTGCTCTGGGGGCTGTTGCTGCTCTGCCTATCTGCTCTGCACACTCAGCTACGGGTAAGTCGCTCCCCTCCCGTGGTTTTGGGGCCTCTCCTGGCCAGCCAAAAGGGCAAAGGCAGCAAGGTTGGGCTCCAGCCTCTGGGGCAAATACTGCCTGACGTTTCTGTGTGAGCTGTGGAGGACATTGCTCCCCTGCTACGGCGTTAGCTTGTGCCCCAGCGCAGGAAGGTTTCTGATCTGCCTTTCCCTATCTAAAATGTTGGGGGATGTTCCCATTACTCAAGGGGATTTCTGTAGAAAATCTTTAGAAACTTGGCTTCAGTTGTATTTAGTGACCATGACATTCAGGGGTTAATAGGACATTGTTTTATGACTTTTTTTTTCCCCCTCTGTTTTAAATCTGGATCCCTTTCAGATCTGAGATTGCAAAACCGAGTAAAGAATACATTATTTCATACCCTTCTTACCCAGTCCCTCTCTAAACAAACCCAGCAGCATTTGCTGCCTCTCCCAGCTCCTGCTCATGTCCACGTCCCCTCTGCGGACCCCACTGTCCCCATTTCTGCATCCCTAAATCCCCTGCTACAGCCACACGAGCACCTCAGGACTACCACAGCCAAGCTGCTGCCGGCTTCTGACCTGACCCCACGGGGAAGTGCTAGGAGTAGGGGCGGAGAAGACGGACTGGAAATTCAGAGGAAATTTGTCTGGGACTTGACTTTGCTGTTTTTCTTTCCAGCTCCCTTTGGCTCAGGCCAGTGAGCAGCAGCGCCTCTCCTTAGACGAGGTCGTGAAGCTGAAGGTAAGCAGCCACTGGTCCCATCCCAGGGACTTGCTCTTACGCCGTGTGCTTGCAGCAGTTTTCCAGGGTGAGTCCGGGCAGTGCAAGCTGGCAGTGGCAGTGCAAGAAGCCCATTTCGTGCTGATTTCCCTCCCTGTCTCACCTGCTGCTGCTGCCGTTGTGTTGGATGCTCCAGCCCAGGTAGCTGGGCAGCAGGGAGTAAATGTCAGCAGCTGATTGTTCAAGGACTGGCAGGTGAATTGTTTCTCTTCTGACTGGCAAGGGAGGGTGAAGAAAACAACTGGATGTGAGGGTGAGAAGGAGAGAGGCTCGTGGCTGAGCAGCAGAGGAATGTCATCCAAACGCTGGGGAGAACAGGGAGATCTGAGGCAAAAGCACATGTTTAAGGCCCTGCAAATATAAGGACAATAGCAGCAGTGCTATAGTCGGAAGCTTAGACAAGTGGAAAATGAGGATTTTGGAAAGAAAAGCAATGGAATAAAACAGACGAGTCAAGAGGAGACAGATGCCTGGAGGAGGATCTGAGCCAGAACGGATCAAGGCTGTGACAGCAGCAGAGGGTGCTGACCGATGCACGAGGCAGATCCGCAGTCCCGAAATATGTGAGGGGAGGAGGTGAAATCAAGGTTGAGGAGGATGGATCCATGAACAGCGAAGGCACGGGGCAGGTGCTGAGCAGGTGGCGGCTCCTGGCCCCGCAGCAGGTCATTTACCAGGCAGAGGGGGAAACACTGCAAGCCCCCGACTCGAGGCCATTCTCCTGGCATAAAAACATTCTGGTTTCCAACCTTAAGGTTAACCTCAAGGTTAAACCATAAATCGGAGCAAGGCCACCACGAGAGCAGAGAAATCAGAGTTTTTCTCAGCCCAAACCCAGCAGGGAGGCAGTGCTCCTGCTCTCCCACTGCTCTACCCTTCTCGTTTCTCCCCAGGACCTGAAAGGAGATGGAGAGGTAGCGTCTGCTGTGCCGGGAGCCCTGCCGGATGCGAAGCTGTCAGACACCTGGGAGGAGACCTACGGACACACGTCACCTTTCCCCACCACCCCAGAAGGAATCAAGAACGATGAGAGCCCTGAAGATACGGCCAGAGCTGGGGCTGGGAACTGTCACGGAGAGGAACCGGCTGGGGAAGTCCTCTCTTCTGAAGAGGATGAAGACAACCAAAGCTGTGACATAACCTGGAAGAAGAGCCAGAGGCTAGCAAGCGGGCTGATGAAATTCAGCATCGATCTCCTGAGAGAGGTCCAGCAGGAGAACGACAGAAGCAACGTGATCCTGTCTCCCCTCAGCATCGCCCTCGCCTTGTCCCACCTGGCACTGGGTAAATTCCTTGCTGCAAAACCAGTCTTCTCCTTTCCATGCACCCCCTCCTGAAGGCACCAGGAGCCAGCGTGCAAAACGCTGCACTTTCCACTTAAACCCACTCCTGCAGCTTTAATTAGGGACAAAACATACAATTAAAATTACATACAAAAATACAATTAAAGCTGCTCTCTGTGGCCTGTGTTGAGGCTCCTCCTCTCCCATTTCTCCAGCATCTTTTGTAAGGCACCCTCTTTTTCTAAAAGGAGGCAGTGACAGTAATATCCCTCTTTTCCCCTACACAGGCATGAACTAACGGGAATTTGCCTTTGCTTTAGGAGCAGCAAACCAGACCGAGAAGCACCTGCTGGAGGCGATACACCTGGAATCCGTGCCCTGTCTCCACCACCTGCTGAGCGCCCTTCGCCGAAGGCTGGCAGAAGCCACGCTCAGCCTCGCGTCGCGGGTGTACCTGCAGAAAGGTGAGAGCTGGCTCAGGTGCTCCCTAAATAGGTGGGATAAAACTCCCAGAGTGACAGAGAGAGAGATGGAAGCGTGCTGCTGTCCTGGGGACATGTTTCTGTCTCCCTAAGTGCTTCCCCTGGGGAGCGTCATGCCTACCGAGCACATTTTTTCAAGGTATGGTGACCTCCTATGGAATTCTTCCTCCCTGCTAGGATTGGAGGTGAAAGAGAAGTTCCTGGAGGATTCAGAGAAATTCTATGGGGCAAAGCCCGTCAGCCTTTCTGGGAGCAGTGAGGATGACCTCGAGGCCATAAACCAGTGGGTAAAGGAGGCAACTAATGGGCAAATCCCCACCTTCCTGCAGCAGCTCCCTGGAAACACGGTGATGCTCTTGCTCAATGCAATCCATTTCCATGGTGAGCTCCACGGGCCTTCCTTTTCAAGCCTGATCATCTCGAGGAATAGTTAGAAATCTAGTTTTCTGCCAACGCTGTAGTTGAATGGCATCTCTTTTTATTGCTTCCTGCTAGTCAATCTGCTTGTTCTTTTCTTGTGCATCTGCCGTTCCTCTTGCTTTGATTTCTTTACAGTAATGATTCCCAACTCTTTCACATGTGCTAAAAACGTTGCTTGACTATAGAGGCAGGTGGAACCTGTGGTATTTTTGCATCCTGGTTCAGGATCCCAGACAGCAGCACATCACTGCTCATCTTAACCAAAGCAGGTCACACGCAGCCCACTGCACACCAACCATCCAGCTTGCAGGCAGCTCCTGTGGCTTTATTTCTGACTACAGCGCGGTGGTCAGGCACAGCTTCCTCTTTTAACTCCCCGAGAGCTGTGCATCAAAGACCAAATGCTTCCAGGGTAAATCTGCAAATATTTTTAGCTTGGTTTTGGAGCACCCGTTTCACTGTACACAACGCTTTTCATTTTTTCAAAGCATTTCACAAGCAGACATGGCTTTATCTTCATAGCCTTCGGTAATCTCCCACGCTGAGGCATGAGGATTAATCCCAGGTCCCTTTGTTATCCCTTAGTCCCTCTCTGGAAGATAAGGGCTTCCTGTTGTCAGGGTTCCTCCAGCCTTTGTACCGATTTCCCTGCATTTCTACTGGCCTGGTCTCTATCTGCCTTGTCTGAGAACTCGCGATAGGAGCGTCAGCGAGGCAGTTTGTGTTTTCCTACCCAAAAGTAACTTCACTGAATTCCCAACTTTTATTTCGATAGGGTTTTGGAGGAATAAGTTTGATGCTGCCTTCACTTCACCAGACATATTCCACCTCGACGATGATTTCGTGGTCTCAGTTGAGATGATGAAAGCCCAGAGGTACTCCCTGAGCTGGTTCACACTGGAGTCCCACGACGTTCAGGTAGGGCTCCCTAAAAGTACTGAAGGTTTTGATTGGAATTTCCTCTTCCTATTTTATTTCACTGACTGCAAATGTTCTCTTCAAAATACAAATGCTTTTTAACAAGAATAGCACACGCACAATTTTAATAAGCATCCTTTGTCCTTGCTTCAAGCAAGAATGTTGAACTTTTGCTCTCAGTCTCTTGGAAAAAAAACACAGCCATTCCTACTAAGTGAAAATTAATATAAATTAACATAACTTTAAAGCTCTAAGTTAAAATGAATGAGAAAATGTGGAAAGGAGTTCCCCTAAACACTGCACTGTTGGAATCCTTCAGGAACCAGCTACTGCAAGTGTGGGTACAATGTTTGTACATGTAAGCTTCCACCCTGCCACATGTTTAATCTTTACCAGTCAGTGGCTAAATCCTAAAATCCGATGCCGTTATTCCAACAAGCTTTCTCCCCAAAAGAACTCAGGCACCTTCCCAACAGGTTGTTTTTGTCCTACAGCTACATTGGCTGTGTAGACAAATCAGAAAAAGAATACTCTAAAAATGTGTTTTCCTCGACTTTCCTTCTATAAATTCTTCTGGTTGCTTTTCTTTCCAGGTGGCCAAGTTTCCCTTTAAGGGTAACGTGAGTTTTGTGGTCATTGTACCGCACCAGTACAGCTGGAACGCCACTCACGTGCTGGAGAGCTTCCCCTACAGACAGCTATGCACGCTTTTCCCCGAAGAGGTGCCCACCACAGTGAAGATGCCCAAAATGAAATTGGATTACCAGCTGGAACTCAGCAACATTCTCAGTCAAATGGGTAAGGCTCTAACAGGATTTGGGCAGAATAAGCGAATCTGATCAATCTGTATGGCATCTGTTCACTAGCACTAAAAACTACCAGCCTTGTTTCGAAAGCTGTGCCTCACAGCTTTGCTCCAGATAACATCCAAACCCCTCATTTCTTATTCCTCTCCTCTTCCTTACTCTCTGCTTGCTTAGCACCAACTGTTTTGCTCTAACGAGATGATGCTATAGGGAAGGCAGCTTTCTCACTTCCTCAAAATCTTTATGAGCTCTTCCTATTCCCCTATTTGTAGCCAAGACCAGCTTCCCGCTGTGTGCAACTTTCTTTGTCATTTAAAATGGTGCAGGACATGTAAATTGATGAGAGAATGCAGATCACAAAGCCTGGAATTGAGAGCTTATTGAAATTAAATACTATCCACTGAATCTCTAGAGGAGAATAACTTAAGTTTACTTTTTTTGTAAATTGCTTTAAAAAAAAAAATCTCCTCTGTAAAACTGTTTCCAGCCTAACAGGAAGGAGACTTCAGACTTGCTGTTGCTTTTTAAGGAAGGTCTTAAGTTCTGACACCACTGCTCTAAAAGAGGTGGACAAGCATGTAAAAACTGCTCTGGTTTTGGCACCCTCAGCTCTTCGTACTGCAAGGGACTGGAGAACCTGGTTGGACTGCAGCTTTTATTGTGGTTGCCTTCCAGTTCTCCAGTCCTCAGTGCTGGACAATGTGCGTAACAAGGAATCAGGGAACTGCTTTTAGAATTCAATTTTTGAGGAAAATTGCTGTCGGCACCAAATGGGAAAGGCTAATTTAAGTTTCATTTCTCCGTAGGCCTCCAGGAGCTGTTCACAAACCCAAACCTCCAGAAGATCTCAGATGAGTCTCTTTTTGTATCCAGTATCCAACATCAGTCCAGCCTGGAGCTTAAAGAAGACGGGGTGGAAGGATCCGCTGCTACCAGCGTTGTGATATCACGCTCGCTCTCAGCCTTCAACCTCGACCGGCCCTTTCTCTTCATCATCTTTGAAGAAGAACTGGGCATCCCGCTTTTTATAGGCAGTGTCCAGAACCCTAACCCCAACGCTGCTCCCCAGCTAAAAGAGCTACGACGCTCAGCTGCTGCAAAAGATGACAAGGGGTACCCCATGCCCAAATAAGAGAGGAGCAGAGCCTAAGCAACCTGGGACTGCCACCTGGCCCTCTGGACCTGCTAAGAGGGGCCTCCTGTCACTGGAGACCTCCCTTCGAGGCCACAGAAGGCAATTCCTTGCTTGTTTTCCTTTACAGATCCCTAGAGACCGGCCCTGGGATATCCCATTCCAGCCCTGAGAAGCTTTTCCTGGCTGAGGTTCCCCTCTGTTGAGCCTGAAAAGCTTGGTCTGCCTCTCAGGCCTGGAAGGGAGGCTTCCTTGTCCCCAGACTCTTATTAGAGTCCTTATTAAGCTCTTATTAGAGTCCCCCATAGCCCGGAATTATCATTAGCATCTGGCAGCTTGGACAGCAGCCAGGGATATTAATATGGTTCTTCCTTCCGCAGTTCCTGTGAACATGCATTCCTCAAAGTGTTCCTCTAAAAACTATCTGTGCCCACCTAGAAAATGACCTCTAAATCATCTGGAGTAGCACCCAGTTGTCTGCCCTGGGATGAGGCAGAGCCCTTTCAGACATTGCCTTTTCCCCGCTCCTTGGCTGTTGGGGTCTACAGCGAGGGAAACCCCTTTGGATCCTTACCTCCAGTCCTTTTCCTGAGAAATTCTAGGTTCTTGAATAATGCTAGATTTTTCATGGCTTATTTTATAAAGCATTTTTTTTTAGTAATTTTTATGTTGGCAGAATAATAAAGAGTAAAGCAGAAGATGTTTGCTTAAGGTGTTACATTGAAAGACCAAACTGAGAATGGAAATAGGCAAGCAACTTGAATAACTGCAAAGATTAGGAGAAAAAAAAAATACTCCGGGCATTAAAGACACAAAAATAGGAGGGGATTTGCAAAGGATCTGCTGCTTGCTATACCTTGTCACAGATGCTAATGGGGAGTCCAATAAGCTTTGGGCATCTCACTTGCAGAGTTAGTTTGCAAAAAGCGTTTGACTCACTTGTTCAGCGCTGCCTTTGTGAAAAGAGCAGAATTCCTTGAACAGAGCACGAGCTGAGCAGTGCTGGGACCAGGAGGGTATTTTGCCTGTGAACAGCAGTGCACTGATAAGCAGAGATATGGCAGGCCTTAACCTTTCCCTGGAGCAAAACCTGACCCCTGATGACAGCTGCCAAGAGATTCGAAGATGTCAATTCAGCATCTGTCTGGGAATTGGTGGTCTGCTGGAATACTTGTGGCTCCACAGCACAATCCTATGAATGTCTGCAAAGGTTTCCAGGGAAAGAAAGGGCAGACTGTGATGCCTGTAGCTGAATGTCAGTGCTTTCACCCTGCTGTTGCAAAAGGCAATGTCTTGTACTGCTTCACTAGTATCTGAGATGGGCACAACTCCCTAGCTCCTTGTTCAGATGTAGCTTACTCCAGATGTGCACTGCTATCATTAGGGATCCTTGGGAACCCTCCACCCCAGCAATCCATCCCCTACTACGTAAAAAGGTCAGACTAACTCACCGTTGCCTGCCATGCTGCAGCTATTTCTGTATAAAACCACGGCTGGCCGTAGCAGATTCCGCTTCTGAACTCCCTCAGCTTCTGGGTAGAAAGTGTGGTGCTCTGTTTTTGTGAAATAGCAGTTACAGAGCATGAGGGCCATCCTTCTGGCAGTGTTTTCCTAACTCGGGAAGTCTGCCTTCCCTCAAAGGAAGGCGCAGAATGCTTCTGGGAGCCTCCGTCCCTGAATAGTCTGCACCATCTGCTGGAATAAGAGAAGGACTGACTCACTAACCATGAATTTCAGGGACGCGGGAGACTTTGGGGAATAAAAAGTACTGGCTCAAACCTGCAATTACACATTTCTAGTCGTCTAAAAGGGGAAAAATGGCTAAAGATAATGCCTACCCAATGTAACCAATGCAGTGACACGCACCCTTCAAAAAGAGGGTGTAATTATGGGGCCGTATAATTCTAACAAGTAAACCCACAAGAATCCATCTAGAGCTATATGGGCATAGCTCTAGCCCACAGGAACATTTTAGCTCACTTATTTATACAGATTCATTCCTAACGTTCAGAAATACCATCCCATGCCTTAGGTAAGTCTTGCTTTGGATAATACAACCTCAGCACTAACCTCCCTAAATTCTACTCTGTTGCACTGCGACCTGTGCAAAATTTGAAGCACAAGTCTTCCTTTTCATGCCTCTGCCCTCCACTTCCCCCTCTTCTATAAAGTTTTTTCTCCCTGTTCTCAGGTTCCTGAACAGCATTAGTTCTTACTCCCTATTTTCCTTCTTTCTGCCATCCCTCCTCCAAGGTATTCTTGTCAAACTCTTAATTTCACCTTATTTGTCAGTACAGCAGCACTCCATGGCTGTGCCTTGCCGAACAAATGAGCAGTTACACCTACCTTACGATTCTTTTCACTCCACTGACTCTGCAAAAGAGGCAGCTTGTAAAATGCAAAGTAATATTAATGTCTCCGCTCAGGAACTTCCACTTCGCTTTGCTAAGCTTTCATTTTGACTGAGCTCTGTTCTGAAGAGACACGACTAGCACTGGGCGTCTGCTCTATAACTCATCCGCACCGCTGGCTGAGAATATCAAATAAGTCTGAATAACTTTAATATGAGATGTATTTTTTTTCCCCTTACTAAAGCAAATTCATATGAACGTCATCAGAACTTACTTCCACAGCACTGCTCGGAGAACATACTGTCTTGAGCTCCAAACAAATCAACAGGAAAATATTTCCATTGATATCACAGAACTGATTTAATCCCTTGCATCTATTCGGATGAGTATTGTACACCATTTCAGGGATATGCTCTACCTGCAGGAATAAAGCTTGATTTAGCCTATAATAACATTCTGTACAACTGCCACTCCAATTTAAATGGTTTAAACCCAAGCCTTTATTTAAACAGATGAGCTTTCATTTGACAATACAGATAAGATATACAAAACTTCTCTAGGAGTCCTTCCACAAAGGGCATTTTAATATCATATTTGTACGAAAGAAGTTACCAAATGAGACAAAAGCCATCAGATCTCCACGGCTAACACCCTCATTTTTGAGGGGATGGTGGAAGACTATTAAGTACAAACATCTTCCTGCAGACGACTTCTCACAGAACAAGCTGAGAAACAGCTGAGAGCAGAGCTGTTGCTCTTCGTGTTATAGGGTTACCTTTGAAGCACCGCCTAATCACAAAGCAATGCTCCCTGATTCGCTTTTTCTGCTTGCAGAAACAGCTGCCAATGCTTCTCCAAAACCGTCCTTTCCTATTATCTGAGGGATTGTATAAGTCCAGTGCAAGCAGGCATGAGTAATTCCTCATTACCTGTTTGCAGCAAGGCTGGCAGCCCCAAAAGATGTCTCAATAAAAACCTAAACTGTGGGCACTGATATTATTGGCCATGGTTTACTTCCAGCATTTCCAAGTAGACAAACAGCTGGAGTGGCTCGGGCCAGCTACGTGTCAGTTCAGCCCAGTATTCTGTCTCTCCCAGTAACAAATGACTGGGGGAAAAAAAATCAGAAAACCACTAAGAACGTGTAAGTAGGGACAGAGAAAAACAACTGCTCTCGTTGCATCTCTCAGCTGCTCAGTTCGATATTATATCTGACCGCCGTCAGCATGCAGTGGACTTGTCTTCCACTATTTTTTTTTTAAATCCATGTCTTCCATCTTCTGCAATATCTAGTTACTGTAAGCTTTACAACTTAATACTTCTGGAAAACGCACTGGTGTTTTAAATAGGCAGATACGTGGATACTGATGAGTGTTCCCCATGACTCTTCTACTATGAAAAATAACAATTACCCTGTGCCCCTTCCCTTCTCCAGACCACTTATTGTTCTATAAGGTCCGACAACATTCTCTTCATTCTTTTTCCTTTTTTATGGCCAAAAAAACTTCCAGCCACTTATGTTAACAACTTGTTAACTAGTAACTATCAATGGATAGAACCACTTCTGAATATCTTCCCCTTAACTGCTTTAAACTGGATCCTGCTTCCACTTTAGCAGCCTCTCCATTAAATCTTCAAACACCGCTGCAATAACGGTACCTCCGAGATGGGAGAAAGTCTCTCATGTGACATGGGGCAGAACTGAGGGGATAAAAGGCTTGCTCAAACGCCGCAGGGAAGAACAAGGCTGAACGTTTGGCTGGGTCCTGTTTTAGCCGCTGGACTGCCCTTATCACAGAGCGCACATTGGCTTTGGAGGCGAAGGTTCACAAGCGCGCACAGCCCAGCCAGAGGATCACAGCAAGAGAAAATTGGAGCAGAGCACTTTAAGAGCACCCTGGGAAGCTGTAACCTGAAGCCAGCCGAAGGCTGGGCTGGGGAGGCAGCAAAAAGCAGATGTGGCTGCGTTGAGCTCACACTGGCCCCGGCTCGCACCCGCTGGGAAGCTGCTGCAGCGGCGGCCGAGAGGAGCCCGAGGTAAGGGGCAGCTCGGGCTGCTGGCGCTGACCTGTGTCGGCAGCCAGCGGCCAGGGAGTGCCAGGGGTGTGAAGGGTGCAGGGGTGATGCTGGGGAGCTCTTGGGGAGCTGGGGAATGGAAAATGAACGGTGCTGCTGCAGGTGTGAAAAGGCGCGGCGCCCACCAGGTAGGTGAGCGATGGCAGCGAGGGTTGGCAGCCAGCAGCATCCCAGGGCACCTCTTTGCCACCGGGGTTGATGTGTGCTTGGTGACTGGGGAATTTTTTCCCCTTTTCTGCCTTTCTGGTACCTGTGCTGCAGCTGGGAAGAGGCTTTTTCTTTGCAATGGTAGCAATTTTGGCGATATGCAACTCCTCGAGGGCTGGTGGTCGCAGGATGCCTCGGAAGTGGTGCTGTGGGATGGAGCAGGCACAGAGAGGTCTGAGCTCATGGGTGCTGTTTCGTAGAAGCCCTAAAATCAGAAGCATTCATAAACGATCTGAGACTTGTACCACTATAGATGGAAGGCAAAACGTTTCACTTTGCACCTGCAGGCCTTCACAAACAGACAGCTCCAAGGCACAGAGTTCCTCCTCAGCTCATTTCTCAAGTTTCTTCCTGCATCTTCCCGACTGTAACATCACACGCTGCATGCTGTTGCTCCTTCTCTTCTTTTTAAAAGGCAGCTACAGATTTTAATAGCATGCCTGAAAACATCCAACACCTTTTCTCCAACCAAGTTCTTCCCTCTCTGCATTTTTGGCTGCGGACTAAAGGCCACGCAAATAGAATCCAGATGTTCAGGCCAATTCAAATGCAAAAGGCTTTGTCTTTCTAAAATGGAAATTGCTTTTTGGCAAAGTTCGAGAAATATGAAGCTGGTGACAGTACTGGCAAAAACAATGTAAATCTGCAAAACCAATCTCCGCTCCTATGCTCCCAGGAGCTCAGTATAGTTGGAAGCAGGGATTGTGCTGAACCTCTTTTTTTTCAGAGAAAAGGTTACACTCCATGGAAAACCATCTCCAAAGTAGACTGGGCCAAACCTCTTCTGCTCAGCATGCGAGAACACTGCTTGCTTGGTGCAGGCGTCCTCATAAAGCCCTAGCCATGCCCTAGCTTTGCTTAGATGCACGCAGGGCTTGTTATCTCTTTTTCAGCATGGTGCCTATTCATTTTAAAGCTCTGCAATGCTACAAGCAATCCCAGCATCATATCCACTGTCATACCACCAAACATGGTTTGTTGCAGTGCAGTAAGTCCTCTTGATAAGCATTTCCTGCCCCAGAATATCTCATCTATTCAGCAGCTGGGATAGCAGGAGGTCACAAGATGCGAGTGCACAGGGAAAAGAGGTACCACTTTTATGTTATGCTGCCTAAACATACATGAGGACTTCAAACCTCCACCATGACACCATTCTCTCCAAGACAGAAGTACCTCTAGAAGAAAAGGGTTTGGGAAGGAAAGGGAAACGGTGAGCTGTCTTTCACTGAAGGAAAACCTCTGCCAGAGCAGACTGGGTCCTGAACTCTGGCTATCGTAGCCACGTGGCTTTAAGTTGTATTTCTACCAGCAGGCATGTTTCCTTTAGAGCTGCACTTAATCTCAAACACATGTTATTTCTCTTACTTCGCTGGATGCTTGGATCACAGGGGTTAGTTAAATACAACCCTCTTCCTTTAATTTCTGGGAATCTATATAAACATTGCCTCAGACCAGCCACAGTGGCGTCTGTACTCAGGGGCATGACACTTCTGCAGTAGCTCTGGTTTACCCGCAGTGAAAGCCTGGGTTACACACTGCCCTTTGGACCAGACAGATCTGTCTGGAAGGGCCACATATGCCAAAGCTGGAGTGATTAAAATCAGGTTCCACAGAAGGAAGCTTATCAGCTTTGGAAAGTTTGGTACTTTTCTCCCACCTCTATTAAAAATATGGAATAAGCCAAGCTCCGTCTCTAGATCTGGCCCAGCATTAGGTGTTTACTCCCAGCCCTTTTCCTCTCTGTCTTCTAAGAAAGATCTCCTATTGGTCTGTTATCAAACTGAAAATAAGAAGCAAAGGATTCAGTATAGCCTTCCAAGTACATGCAGACACAAGAAACATAGTAAATTAGTGCCCGAGGCAGATAACTTGTTTACCAGAGCAGCAGACAGACAATTCTCTTCTGCCCCATTCAACAACGTGAATTTGCTACCTTTTATAAACGCTGATGTATTGAATTTTTAGTCTAAAACTCAGAAGATGTGATTTAGTGCCTTCCTTGACCATGGCACTCAGTAGCTGCCAGCACCAGTGTGGTTTGGGCCACACACATCTGCTTTTGTGTTCAGACACACCCAGGCATGTGTGTTTGCCCAATTTTGAAGTCACTGGAGCCAGGCTGGCTGAATACTTAGAGCAAGCTAGAGAAGAAGAAAACCCAGCTACGGTCAGGTGTGTGCTTCACAATCAAGAAGAACAAGCAGCAGCATGTCACTGCAGTACCTGTCACAACCAGGTACAGCAACCAGCAGCAGCAGAGATGTATTTTTCTCAGTTGCTCAAACCATCATGTTCTTACTCTGTAGGTTCAGGCATGCAGATTCCAGTGGTTCTCCTTTTCCTGGGTCTTTTAACTGTGCCAAGCAGATCCCAGAACTCGGCTACTGGGCAGGTAAGTAGAAGACAACAGCAGAGAGTGAGAGCCATACTTGGAGCAGGTAATTTAATTTTAGAAAGTCTTACAAAAGGATTAAATGCTACCCTCCTAAGTTACTAGGTTTTTATTTAGCAACATAATGAGACTAACTCCTGCTTTACGTAGATAAAACCAAAGCAGTTGCAGTCATCTCCTGACGTGAGGCAGATCCAGGGGATTCCAACCTGAGCACTGCCTTCAGCTTTATTGGGACACGTTAAAGTGAAATCACTATTCCTACACGCTATCAGGAAGATTAAGCCAATGCTTCTGCGGATCACAGGAGAGTGTCTGCAGACTGCCTGCCTTTGAAATGCTTACGATTACACCTGCCCTTGTAAAGTGCAAGTCTAAACAAAGTGCTCCCTGTGCTTGCTAGAACTCTGCCACCACTGATGGAGCTAATGCTGGCGAGGTCGAGGAGGAAGATCCATTCTATAAAAGCCCTGTAAACAAGCTGGCAGCTGCAGTCTCCAACTTTGGCTATGACCTGTACCGTCAGCAATCTAGCCGGACAGCCACTGCCAATGTGCTACTGTCTCCGTTCAGCCTGGCTACGGCACTCTCTGGTCTCTCACTTGGTGAGTTCCTGCCCCCTTTTTTCACGTGCTGTTTGACTTGCCGGGCCTTCCTTCATGCTGTTGTCCTTGTTGTTGGCAGGGGCTGGAGAACGAACAGAAGATGTGATTTCTCGTGCTCTCTTCTACGATCTACTTAACAAAGCTGAGGTCCACAACACCTACAAGGACCTCCTGGCCAGTGTGATTGGACCAGAGAAGAGCCTGAAAAGCGCCTCCCGTATCATCTTGGAGAAAAGTACAAGTCCTTCTTTGCCTCTATCAAAATTTACCTGTATAAACTAGCAGCAGGTAGAAAACACTGAACAAATAGCACCACCATAACAGCCTTGGCTCTCACATACTGAGAAGCCACAACAGTGTGGAATACATTCCTGCTCCAGATAAAGCCTGGAATGTTTGTGTACATATAAGTAAGTGAAAAGACCAGACATGCACCAAAAGGTAGTGGTGAGAGAGCAACTAGCATGCACAAGACCTAGAAGAAACTTGCTGCGAGGATTTTGCCTTCACTCTAGGTTTCCTGGCAGATGCTGCTAACTACCAAGAACCACAAATCACATTTTCCTATTTGTGACAGCATTCAGCCAGTTTTCTTTGTTTAATTCATTGCAGAAATATTTGAGATATCTGCTTTCAGCATGCAGCGAACATCTGCTGAGAAAGCTAAGAGCTATCCTTTGGAACATGCTAGCTCCCAGAATCCAATAGGCTGAGTAAGCTATGCTCATATAGAAAAAGCTGGAGAAAAAAAAAAGGACTGATTGATGTAGGAATAGCTGCGTCCAAGCCTTCTTTTGTTATCTCTCATCTTTACTTCTCAGAGAGAGTTATTCCATACCCTAGCATGGTTGGCTACGGGATTGGATCAGTTTCCTCCGCTCATTCTTTTTCAAAGCAGGTTTCAGGATACACGCAGCCACAGATCTGTTTTATGAGAGAACTGCTGCTGGGCTTTGGATTGCAGTTTGCAGCCTTGAAATTGTTTTGATAAGGGAGCTAACTGCAATATTGATCTTTTTGTTCCCCAGGACTGAGGGTGAAGTCTGCTTTTCACAGCCAACTCGAGAAGTCCTACAAAATGCGTCTGAGGGCATTAAGTGGCAATGCCCAATTAGACCTTCAAGAAATCAACAACTGGGTACGGCAGCAGACAAAGGGGAGGATCCTGCGGTTTATGAAAGACATGCCCACAGATGTCAGCATTCTCCTTGCTGGGGCTGCTTACTTCAAGGGTAAGAACGCTGCATAGTCTGTTACAGAGAAGGACTATTAAGTACATGTTAGAAGAGATGTGCGGGAATGATCTCACTGCCAATAGCACAAACAGACTGCCAGGGATGAATATAAGAAGAGAGCACGTGTTTAATAAACCAGAAAAAAAAAAAAAACATGCTACCTAAACAGAAGTAGTCCTCAAGGGAGGAATTATTGCTTCTGGGAAGCTGAATCTTGACCTGTTTGCAGTAATGGAGCAGAGGAGAAAGTGTAAGGTAGTAAAACTCAATAGCAGAGACAAAATATTAACATTTACAGAAGGCAGAGGTTAAAAACTGCACTGAGCCTTAGTACCACTGTAGAGGGCATGGAGGAAGATGCTGGAAATCTGTTCTAGAACGTGCTCCAAGCCAGCACCTACAGAATCCAGTGTCCTGGAGAATTATCGCTTAGAGACAAGGAGCAAAACAAAGGTGGGGAGAGAAGTGCTTTATGTACACAGACACAATTGTTACCCTTCAAAATAGTTTTGTAATTGCATAAGTGGACATCAGCTTCCCAACAGTTACTCCACCCATGAGCTGGCTTGATTTATTTATTTTTTTTAAATTTCTCATTTAGCCAATTCTGAGATGAAAAGGAGGGGCCTAAAAGTGGCAGTAAATCAATAGGTCCTATCAGTCTATTTCCATCTCTACTACCACTCCTTTATGTCTCAACTTTTAAAGCACAAATATATAAAGCATATATAAAGCACAAGATTACTCAGCCACAGACAAGTCCAGTTTCATATGCTATTATTCCAGAAAATCTTCCCTTTTATCTTTAAAAAAAAAAAACAGGGACTTGGGGAACCAAGTTTGACACCAAGAAGACCACTCTGCAGGACTTCCATCTGGATGAGGACAGAACCGTGAAGGTGTCCATGATGTCAGACCCCAAGGCCATCCTGCGATATGGTTTTGACTCAGAGCTCAACTGCAAGGTCAGACAGCAAATATTGCACAAGATCTAAACCTACTGAGGAACAGGCTCAGCTACACTTACCTGTTAACCTATTCCAGAAGACAGCCTCGCTCCACCCATCAGGCTAGTTCTGCAATCCCTGTTTTCAAAGGCAGCATGCTTATCTTCGGAATAATTTTCTTTTACATTGGCCGTGACACAAGCAGTCCCAAGCTTAAATAATGTGCAGATCCTACTAGCCTGTATTGCTCTACTTAAAGTTGGGTGAGAGGGGCAGAACACAGAGCTTTTCGATCTCTACTTCTTTCAACAAATCTGTCACTGTAGGAAGAGCTCAAAGAAGGTGTCCCAGCTGGGAATCCCCCAAAGCAGTACTGTAGTTCACTACAGAACTCAACAGGTAAAAAAGAACTCCTGCCATCTACTAGCTGAAAGGGGGAAGCAGAGGGTTGATGAAAGCCTGGGCACAAGGAAGGTCAGGGAGCATCATGTCCAATAAAAGCAACCAGATAAGGAAACAAAATGTTAACTGGAAAGGCTGACCAGGCAGTCAAGGGTTCAGGTCTGGGACTGGTACAGGGAGGGTAAAACTTTCTCCTGTGGGTATGGCCCTTTCTTATTTGTACCTGGCCTTCCAGATTGCCCAGCTGCCACTGACAGAAGGAGTCAGCGCCATGTTCTTCCTGCCTACGAAGGTGACCCAGAATATGACTCTGATTGAGGAAAGCCTCACTTCTGAGTTTGTCCACGACGTAGACAGGGAGCTGAAGACAGTCCACGCGGTGCTAAGCTTGCCCAAACTAAAGCTGAACTACGAAGAGGCACTTGACAGCACTCTAAAGGAGACAAGTACGTACATCACACTCCCTCTATAGACTGCCAGGTCTGAAAGCAGGAGGCAAGTTGCTTCCTGCTCACAGAAAATATGATGCTGGTGGGTTATTAGCTTGGCCCTGCTCTCAGTCTGCACAGATTTCACCATCAGCTAAACCACCTCGGTACAGGACTCCTCAAGTTTTTAATCATATCTTTCCATCAAGCTCATACACTGTTTCTGAGATGCAGAGGAGCAAAGTACAAGCAGATCTAAACTTCTTCTCCCTGTTGCCCCCATTAAACTCTGCCTGAACAGCTATGTGATGCCCTCCCAGATCACAGCATTAGCAGTACTGATCCTCCACCTGACATCTAAGCCTTTAGTTAATGGAATTTTCTTTCTTTCCTCCAGGGCTCCAATCACTTTTCACATCACCTGATTTTACCAAGATCTCTGCCAAACCCATTAAGCTGTCTCACGTGCAACACAAGGCAATTCTGGAGCTTAACGAAGATGGGGAAAAATCCACACCAAATCCTGGGGTGAATGCTGCTCGTCTGACCTTCCCCATAGAATATCACGTGGACAGACCTTTCCTTCTTGTGCTGCGAGATGATACCACTGGAACCCTCCTCTTCATTGGAAAGATCCTGGACCCCAGGAGTGTTTAGATCCGTTCACAGTAATTGGCAATGGTAGGGCTCAAATGGAAAGGGTGGTATTGGGAGGGATACTCGCTCCCTGCTCTGCTGCACAAAGACACAACTTGCAAATTTTATGCCTTTATGCTGCAATAAAAGAGCTTTTGCTATTAATCTCCACAACCCCAGTACTCTTCCTTGAAGGACTCTCCTGTCTACATCATATGTTTTCACATTCCCATTTTCCCTAGACTGAGCCCCAGTGCAGTTCTGTCCTATATGCAAACATCGGTCTAGTATATACTGGATTTTCTCCTATCCCATTTTCATTTACTTGTCATGCTGACAAGAAAGCATGTCAATTGTATTAGAAGTAAAAGGCAACGTGGTCTGGATGACTGCGTGTTCATGACCAGCAGAGTACCACATGTGGGAGACTCACATCTCTAGAAACACTCTTATAAGCATCTCAAGCATTTGCTTCAAAACCACATGCAGAAACTCTACAGCAGCATCTATTTCCACCATAGCACACGCAGACCCCTCAGGTTAGAACCGGTTATTTTATTTACAACAGTCTCGCTAAAGAGCATTTCAGATTTCACTCAAGTTGTTGTTACGCACAATTTTCCAGCTTGTACTACACGACTGCCTTACCACACAAAACTTAGCTTTGATGAAAGATCACATTGCAGCTTCCTTTGATAGGGAAATTAAGTCCTCTGAAGAATGCTTCTGGGAAGCTCTAACAGACAGGTCTTCATCTCTCGTAGTTCCCGGATCTGAGTGCTCTGAGGACCACAGTGCACTGTCAAAATCTTCTCTGCTCTTTGAATTGTGCTCAGAGCTTCCGAAACTGCAAATCTGAAATAGGAAGTGAGTAAGAAGAGAGCATAAAATACTTAACTCAGCTCCCTTGACTTGCACAACCTTCAACCCTTCCCCCCAAAAACCTAAGCCTGTTCACGGGTATAGATCCTACCTTCCACTGCCTTTCAACACCAGGCAAATAGCATGCACTTCAGCTGCAGAGGGAGGATGGGTTAAAAAAAAGATAAACGAAAGGGGATGGAAAAAAACTAAAACATTATCTCTGAGTATATGTATGCACTGCTTCCTCAGTGCAGCTCCCGCTAAAATTCAGAGAGTTAAAGGGAGGTGTTGTTAAAAGACATGCAGTAGTCTGGGGACTTGCTTGTCAGAAGAGGGCCAAAACAGAGCAAGGAGATTTTATTTCCTTGTTTGGAAAGATGTCAGCAACATTTTACTACTGTGTAAACATCAAGGGTGACTACTTATTGGAATAAAACAATAGGATGGGGAGAAATGGAGCCAGGGCATAGAAAAGAATAGGCAGGCACAAAGCAAAGAAATGGGTCCAAATAGAGGCATAAAGGACAAGCAAACCCCATTAGGATTAACAAACTTGCACTTGAGTAGTGTACAACTCTTGTAGCCGTGCCTAGGGTCCTTCAAGGTGCCAAGGACTGCCTGCCATGTGTCAGACACACAGGAGTTGTGCAGGGAAGGGAGAGAGAATGAAAGCAACTTTACCCATTGAAGAGAATTTGTGCCAGTTTGAAGAGTTCATGACCCATTTCTACACTTGATGGCCCGTGATGCATTTCCACAATCTGAATGCTCTTCTCTAGGTGTCTGGCTGCTTCCTGCCACTTTCCTGACAGAAAAAAAAAAAAAATCACCATGAATAAATACTGTTTAGAGTCACAGTCATCCAGAGTTTGACAGCATTATGCAAAGCACGATGAACTATGTACACAGCATTCTTGAGAGGTTGCTGTCCTCTGAACGAGGACAAGGAAAACAGAAGAAAGTGAGATCACACTGTTCACTGACAGATGGGAACACAGTTTCGGCTAAAGCAGTGTTTCTGAGAGCTCTACTTCCAAAACTAGAGAAATGCAGTAGGGGAAAAAGTGAGAAGACTAGTGAGGGAAAATGCTTGTCTTGTTAAATTCAAAGTTCAGAAAACTAAAGAAAATCTTGAGTGAGAAGACAATGCCATACCAAGAGTAGCATAGACCTGTGCCAGATGATCCTCCATCTCTCCCATCAGCAAATGCTCCGGTGACAAGAAGTTTCTAGCATCCATCTGACACTTTAGGAGCATTTTGATAGCCTCATCTATAAAACAGGATATAAAGTTCATCTTGCTGGCCAGTCTCTGGGTTGCCATGGTCCATGAAATGAAACCAGTCCACTCTCATCTCTGCATCTTACACAACTAGAGCTGGATTTGGTTCAGATTCAACATCTACTTCCTCTGCAACCCTGCTTACTCCAATGCAGGGTTGGCCAGACTCGCTCCAGGAAAGTGAGGCCTGAGAATGCAAACTCCAAAGTTATCCCGAGTTCTTTTAGTCACTATGGAACAACGTGTGACTTAGATTAACACCCAGATCAGGAGTATAAAAAACCCTAACGCTCAAGTCCCCAGGGACACCAGGCTTCGTGCCAGAGGACCTCAACTACGTAAGCAACAGTGCCATCTCATGGCCAGAACCATGCCTCCTGATGTGTACTCATGAGCTGCTGACCTTAAAGCAGAAAGCTGAGCCTTACCAGCCTTGCTGTCTCTTAGCAGTTCTAATGCTTGCTTGATTTGTCGCTGAAGGTCTCGTAAATGCCGTGACAGGCTCTCTCTGCTGACTGAGCGCGCACAAGCTTCATTTGAACAACAAAGCACGTCTTCCCCCTGTGGAAATCATCCCTGTGATCATTCCTGCTCACATTCAACTCAAAGCTTACTTTCCATATCCATATCTCTGTATTACACTACAGAGGTGCTAAACGTAGCTGAAGATCTAAGTGACTTAGTTGTAAACTACTGTTAACTTTTTTCTCTCCTAAATATCCGCCTCCACCCAGTATTATTTCCCCCTGATATTACAAGGTTCCTTCTGCAAGTTCTAAGGGATTTTAACTTCCTGTTAAGGGCAGTATTTTCCCTATAATGCTGGAAGATTGACAAGCAAGAACTTTGCAAGGAAGCTGCTCAGAACAGTGAGATATTGCCTTGACTCTGCAGGGACTTTTAGCTTCAAAGCAGAGGTCATGGACACAGTCTTTAAATCCTGCCTTTCCCAGAGACCCAAACATTACACATCCTGATCATGTTAAACAGTCATAATTACAGAGGAACCACCTGCATTGAAGCCTGGCAGCTAGGACAGCAGAATGAGTTTCTCATGGACACCACACTCTTGTTGTCAGACTCTAACTCCTCAAGGCACGCCTGACAGCGGCACTCAAAGAAATACTGACTGAGCAGCTGTTGTCTCTCAGCAACCTTCATTCTACATCGGTGAGGCCCTGCAAAAAGATAATAGTAAAGGTAGAAAGCACTGAACAAGTACATTAGCTTAAAATCTACCTTTGTTAAAACAGAGACTAAACGAACATCTTTTGGGGAGTACAAAACTGGAGACTGTGAAAGCGTGATAGCAAGCTCAGGAGATAAACACTTGGTTTAATATCCTTGATAACGGCTCACACATAAAGACTCTAGCAACATTATACTGGGAATGATGATATTATTAGCTATCAGTCAGCACGCCAAGTAGAGGTGAAAGGATGTCTGTGTCTTGAGACAGAGAGTTAACGCTTACCATAGCAATGGAAAATCTCCTGGCCGCTTGAGATTGGCTGTGAGGCCCTGACAGTGGCAGCTGTCCCACTAAATGACACACTGATATTGGGGCTGCACGAATGGTTCAGAAGGCTGAGGACAGGGAAGAAGGCTGTTGCCAGGCGCACAGGTTTCCTATTTACAACAGCACCATCTCCAGACCCTAAAGAAAGAGGGAAAACAAGTATGTTAAGAATGAATTCTCTGTGACCCATCACAAATTGGGCCACTAGAAAGATTCTTTCCCTAGAAAGATTCCTTTAGTAGAAACATTTCTGGTATATTACTACAATAAAAAGTAGCTAAATATCATCTATGTATGTACCAAAGAACAGGCTGGCCTGGGACAGGACATTAATTTTAAGCAAGTCGTTCCCATCTGCAACAGGAGCTTTCTACAACTCTTTGCTTCACACGAACCAGATGAACAAGGATAACAAGGAAGAGCTTAAAAGTTTTTCTTACCCAACTCCTGCATTACGGTGATCGCTTGTGCATTGCATTGCAGCTGCAACACATGCCTCAGCATTGCTTCTGCCATAATCTGCAGCTCTGGAGACAGCTCATCAGATGTTTTTTCACATGCCTTCGGTCCGGATCCCTTCTCAGATGATTCCTGATTCAGAACAGCAGCCTCCAGACCGGCTTCTTGCAGTTTTCTGCATATAGCCACTACACTCAGCATGCAGAGGAACTTGTGTTCAGGGCTATGCTTCTCAGCATGTGGCAAGAGGTTGAACACAGCTCGGTAAGAACTCTGGTACTGGCCATTATCATTACAACCAGGGATAGCTCTGGATCCAGTTCTTGTAGCTGGTGCCTCACTGGGATGTTTACATCTTGTCTTGGTGTTAGGAAGATCATCATCATCATCATGGGACTGCTCCACAAGCCTGCTAACCTCTGAAAATCCTGCCAGTAGAACAGTCCTTAAAGCAACGTGGCAGAAGACCCCTAACGTGAGGAGCAGCCCTCCCAAGGAGCACTCTGTCCTGTGGTATTGCTCCCACGCCGTATCTGCACAGTTTTGGCTGCAGTACTTCGCATAACTGCACCCACGGCAAGGCACAGAGGCTAAAAGCTGCTTCAGACAGCGGTGGCAATACAGATCTGCATTAGTGACTTGAGCATCCCACACCATTTCACTGCTGTCCTGCAGCAGGTGGCTCTCCCCTTCTTCTGGGCAGAGCACGCTTACAAAGGCCTCCTCTTTCAACAGGTTCTGTCCCGGCAGGATGTCCTGTGAGGCCACCAAGTGACGTCCTTTCTCTGCATTGAACTTCAAGCTCAAAGATGAGGACGCACCCGAAATACTGTCGTTCTCTTCCCAGATCTCTGACTCTCTTTGAGCATCACCACACGCTTCTCGTGCAGGCTCTGGACAGCTCTCTCTCTCACGTACTTTAAGCTTCAATTGATTTAACTTTTTCAGCAGCGTCTGGTGTTCAGCACCAGTCATAATCCCATCCACAGCAATTTTATTCTCCACTGCAGCGAGGGCGTCTGCAGCATCCTGCACCCTCCCCAGGCACAGCAGGCATTCCACTTTCCGCAGCAAGACCTTGGGCAGCAGTCTGTCCGGATAGCCATGACTCTGAGCCCTGGCAATATCTTCCAAGCAAACCTAGAAACAAAGATAAGGCCTTTTAAACATACTTGAAAACCACGTGTGCTTTTACTCCATGGAGGATTCATCGCTTTTTAATAAGACCAAATTTTTAATTGGCAAATTTCCCGTTCATAGCCAATCTGCGGCCAGATAAAGACTCCTAAGAGCATAAGAAGGAAATCACGAAAGTAATGATGGAAGCTTTGAGCACAGCTTCAGCAGCTCACCTGATCCACAGCCTCTTGTTTAACAACCAGTTGTTACCGTGGCCTTTACAGAAGCAGCCACCTGAGGCCCCCCGTGCAGGCATTGCAGGGCAACACCTCAGATGCTGTTTGGGCTCTTCTTTGTCCTGTTTCCCCCTGCACACACAGACCTGCTCCAGGACGCTCAGGAACCCCTCAGGGGCACCCCAAAACCTCTTACCTCAAAGTGGCCGAGGTGGAAGAGGGCTGCAGAGCGGTTGGCGAAGCACAGGGACACCTCGGGGCTGCCGGGGAGCTCATGGGACGCTGCCTGGGGAGGAGAACGGAGGGTGCTGCCTCACAGGGGGGCACCACGGGGTGTGCCTCACAGGGGGCACCCTCAGCGGGACCCTCCTCACCCGGATCCCACCTCATGGGGAACCCCCAAAGATGGGGGAAGACCCTTCAAACACCAGGGGGAGATTCCCTACACAGCGAGGTGAGGGGACCCCAAATAGAGGGGGGACTCAACATGAGGGGACCCCAAACACCAGGGATGTGAGGGGACCCCAAACACTGGGGGGGACACAGCAGGGATGTGAGGGGACCCCAAATACCCAGGGGGGGGGGACGACAGCAGAGATGTGCGGGGACCAGGGACATGAGGGGGCCCCAAACACCGAGGGGGGACAGAGATGACGTGAGGGGACCCCAAACACTGGGGGGGCAAAGGGGAGTGTGAGGGGACCCCAAACACTGGGGGGGGGGGCAGGGGGATGCGAGGGGACCCCAAATACCAGAGAGTGGAGGGGGGTGTGAGAAGATCCCAAATACCGGGGGGGGAACAGCAGGGACACGAGGGGACTCCAAATACCGGGGGGCAGAGAGGGGTGTGAGGGGACCCCAAATACCGGGGGGAGGACAGTGGGGATGTGACAGGACCCCAAATACTGATAGGGGGACGGAACGTGAGGGGACCCCAAATACCAGAGGGTAGAGGGGGGCATGAGGGGACCCCAAACCCTGGGGGGGGACCCCAAACACCGTGAGGGGGGGACCCCGCGAGCCCCATACCTGCGAGTAGAGCAGCGCAGCATCCCCATAGCACCCGCGGCCGAACCGCCGGTTCCCCTCCTGCCGGTACCAGCGAGCGGCCGCGGGCTCCTTGCCGGTGCTCGCCCTGAGGCACAGCCGCTGCAGGGCCGCCGCCTCCTCCGCTCCCGGCCTGCCGGGACAACGCGGGGAGGGCTCAGCACCGTACGGCACGGCCTATCCCGGTCCCTCCAGCCCCGGGGCTCACCTGAGGAGGCCGCAGCCCAACCGCAGCGCCTCGCCCAGCGGCGCCGCCTCCAGCCGTTCCCTCAGCACCGGCCCTAGCGCTGCCCGGCACCGCTCGGCGCAGCGCCGCCATTCCTCCACCGGCAGCGCCATAGGGAGGCACCGGCACCGCCGCTTAATGGCGGCGCCCAGTGGAGAACCCCAGCAGCGCTTCCGCCGTACAGAGCCGGGCAGCCAATAGAGAAACCTGGGATTGGTGACGTCATGACGCGCCGGAAGTGGGAGCGCGGCTCGGAGCGGCGGGAGGATTCGGCGGTGGCGGAGCGCGGCGGGAGCGGCGGCACCATGAGCGTGCGCCTCAGCGAGGGCGCCATCGCGGTGAGCGGCCCCCGGGCGGCCCCGAGCACCGGGACCGGGCGGGGGAACGCGTTTGGGACCCCCTGGGCTCGGTTCGGGTTGTGGGGGGGGTGCGAAGGTTGCGTGAGGCCTGGGGATGAGGGCTCGGGGCGGGTGGCGGGGACCCGCTGCAGGCCCCGGCCCTGAGGGGAGCGGAGCGGGGCCGTGCTCTGAGGTGGTCCCGGCCCTCAGAGCCTCCGGGGGGCCCTCTGGTTGCAGCCTGCCCCCGCTTGGGGTCTCCTCGAAGCAACCGTGGCGGTGGCAGCTCGCTGAGGTTCTCTTTTTCTCCTCTCCAGGCCATCATGCAGGGGGAGAACGTCACGAAGCCTGTGCTGCAAGTCATCGTGAGTACTCCAGCAGCCTCTTGCTGCTGGCGGGTCGGCGGTCAGCTTTGTTGAGGAGCCCAGTGTGGCTGACGTGCCCTCGATGTCATTTAGAGTAATAGGTTTTGTGTGACTTGAGCTGTGCAGTTGGTAGCTGCTTTCAAGATATGCAAGTTCACTTCGGCTATTAATTACAGAATGACTCGGGTTGGAAAGGACCTTAAAAACTGCCTAACTCCAACCCCCTGCCGTTGGCAGGACGCCACCCCCTAGATCGGGTTGTCAAAGCCCCATCCAGCCTGGCCTTGGACACCTCCAGGGATGAGGCATCCACATCTTTCCTGGGCAGCCTGTTGCAGTGCCTCAGCACTCTGACAGCAAAGAATTTCCTCCTGATATCTAGAAGGTTTCGATTCATGCTTTTGACAGGCTTCGGAGGAAATGAGCAGGAAATAATGACCTGTTGTTTTCTCCATAGAATACACGGGCTATTGCTACAGGAAATGGGCCTCCTCGTTACCGAGTGCTGATGAGCGATGGGGTTAACACGCTGTCCTGTAAGTATGAAAAGCTGCCGTGAGATTTTTATAAGCGGGGCAGTACTGATGATGCTGAAGTTTCAGGTTTAACGTCACATTGCATAGTGATGAAAGAAGTATTGGATGAGAATGTGGTGTAAATGTGGACTGCAGACTCTGAAGTGTGCAGCTGCTTTTTAACACTCAGAAAAATTCCTTCTCTGGAACTTCTTTTGTGAGGTTTAAGCAATTAACTTGCTCTAGCATATAATCGAGGTGCAGAGATCTATATGTTTTTGTAACACAGATTTTCAAAGTAATTATCTTGTTTTTTTGTGTGATTTCTTTAATATATTATCATCTTAAAGGTCTTTTCCAAGCTAAATGATTCTGTCATTGCACTCTGAAGTTTGGGAATAAATACAATTAAGTGTATGTTCAGTGTTGGTGACTTGTTAGCTGTTACACTGTTTTCTATGTGCTAGTTAACCAAGCAAATTGTAGGTCTAATGTAATGCTAGTAGACTGGCTGGAAAAGTGTATGGTTTTGGTAGATCCACTTAAGGCTGGTATGAGTAAATTGTTTCATCATATTTCTCCTATTTTTGCAGCCTTCATGTTGGCAACGCAGCTGAACTCTCTCGTGGAAGAGGAACGCTTATCAGCCCAGTGTATTTGCCAGGTTAACAGATTCATTGTCAACAGCTTGAAAGATGGAAGGTACGTACATTTCTTCAAGTAGGGTTCTACAAAAAGACAGGTGTGCTAGCAGGTGCTCTGTCCTGGGTGACTAAGCAAAGACCAAATCCTTTTGATTAGGATTATCTGAAAATAATAAGTCTTTAGGGTGCAGGAGGAAAAATACACAGCACAGGCATTTCAAGGATGTGACTGCAGCAGGTGTATATGTGCCTAGCAAAGTGACTTAGTAATTGAAGACTTACAATTAGAATACTCCAAATTGTGGTGGTTTCTTTTCAACTCACTAAAAACTACCTGATGTGGTAAAGAAACAGTGAAGATTTCATGTCACTTAGGTGTTGTAAAATCTTTGGTCTATTATGAGACTTTAAGAGAAGCGAATTAGGCACAGTAAAATGAGAAGAGGTCTGAGTGAAATGATCATCTAACAGCTGCATAAGTCTGGGAGAACATGATTGGAGGTTCTGTATCTGTTTTTATTCCACAGTTTTCTGGAGGGAACATAACTTCTTTTGAGGCAGGGAACGGATTCTCTTGTAAAATCTGTCATGGTTTCAGTACTCTTGAAATGCTGTTTTTAGCCATTTTAGTGTTCCCATGCAGCCTGCCATCGGCTGTCCTTGATGAAACACGATGCTTTTCCAAGCCTACTTGTGCATCACGAGAGGGTTAAGCTGACAGTGGAGAGCTTTTGTTTTCTACCTCCCTTGTACAAAGAAGCAGCCCCTAATGGTTGCTTCTGGTATCTGCGCAGGAAGGATACTCAGTCTGATAAACTTGCAGAGGGAGCGAAAGTCCTTTTGTAATTGTCTATTTTGTGTTTGTAGGAGAGTGGTTATCTTGATGGACTTAGATGTTCTAAAAACTGCTGATATGGTTGGTGGTAATATTGGCAATCCAGTGCCGTACAATGAAGGTGAGTATCCTCTGTGAACAAATACCTCATCCAAACACACTATCTGTTATGATAGTCTTTCAGCTGTCTTTCTTTGCCTTTAAAAAGAAGCAATCAAGCATGTTCAGCTTTCTTATGCCTCCAGCAGTAATGTCTGTATCTCAGAAATCCTTTCTGTTTGTGTAACAAGTAGGGTTTGTCCATATTTTCACAAACTCTGCACCTTGTCTCTAGCTTCAGTCTCTAAATGGCATTGAGAAGTATCCATACTCTGTGATAGCATTGACAGGTCTTTATTATATGTTAGTGGTCTTTATGTAGAGTTTCAGTAAGTATGTGAGAGCTGTTCAATATCTCTTTGTGATGAGTAACCAAGTAAGTTAGTTTTTCTTCTGTCTGGGAAGAAAATGTCAGGAGGAAGATGTAATAATGATCTATAAAACTAAGATGGCACGGAGCGGATGAATAAAGAATGACAAATTTCTTTTTTCTCTTCTGCATTCACTTGATGCTCTTTAGTTCTCATATTACCAGGTAGTGGTTTTAAAACAAAGGCTGTGCTACACCCCCAAACAGTGTATAGTTAAATTATGGAACATGCTGCTACATGAGTTAGGTGCCAAAAATTGGCACAGGTTCAAAAAGCAATTAGATTTTAAAAAAAAAAAATCCATTAAAGGCTGTTAAACATAACAATACATCCTCTGTGTGAATGTTAGGCTCAGGAAGCACTAAAACTTATATTGCTCGAAGTAGATAGATGAGATACCGTTAGGAAAACATGGCCAGCATACAGACTTCCCTAAGCATCTGGTCCTGCACTGCCATCTGAAAAATGATGATGCTTTGGGTGGCCATTAAGCTGACCTCCCGTGAATCTTTTGCTTTCCCTTGCTTAAGTAACTGCATTCTGCATTTTCATGTGCTGACTTTACAGTTGTCAGGCAAACATTTTTCAGATTAGTATAATTTTTTCCCCCTGAGATGTTCAAAAGTATGTTCAGTTCTTGTAGTTCTCTTTCTTAAAAACGGGGAGGATAATAAACACTCAAAAGAAAATATTTGAACATCTCCAACATTGACGTACATACAGATAATGGCTGACATTTAATAGCAAATAGTTTTTTTCAGTGGATTTTTTTCATTTGTCTTTTTCCTGGTGGAATTGAATTAATTTATCACTAAGAACTAGTGGCAGCAACTCTCTGTAAGATATTTTGGACAAATGGTGGTAGGTACGCTGCCATTCTGGTTAAAGATCTACTTTACTAACTGAAGTTGAAATTAGCTTTTGTTGCGAAGATGTCTCTCTTCATCAGCTGTTCTTTTTCCTGGGGAATTAGAGGTGCATTTGTTAAATGAGCCTAAAGAATCCTTTGTTCCTTTGATAGTTACTTCACTGATTGCTGTTTAAAAAATGTGTTGACATCTCAGATTTTATGATTTAATCCCACAGTTGCTGTAGAGACCAGGATTTTCAGAACACCTATTGAGCAGACTGTTTTGTCTCTTTCTCCCATTTCTCTTGCTTGTGTGGTAATACAAGAGCATGTTTTGTGGGAACTGTATGGTGTTCTTCTCTTGTCCTACTGTTGCTTAGAAACAACTGGAAATCTTCCCTCTTAGAGAACTGGGTTGAAAATATACCCTTAAGAGTATAACTTTTGGTAAAATTAAAATGATTTTGATCAAAGTTGTGTTCATTTGGACTTCAAAAAAGTACTAAGCAATGAAGTATTCAAATCCAAAAGCTTTTGGAGATGGAAGTGTTATGGGTCTGTGATCACAGAAAGCATGAGCTTGCACTAGATGGTTAAGAGATGCCAAAATTGATGCAATGCATATTTTATTTTAACACATTATTCTGCAAAATTCATGCCTTTTTTTTTTTTTGACATTAAATAAGGCTTCAGTTGTGGAAGACAGCGATAGTTTAGATTAGGTATGCTTAACCTATCCTTTATGCTCTGCAAGGCTGCCTCATTTGTCATGAAAGCCTTTGTAAAATGACAGAGGTATATCTGAAGTTGCAGGGTCTGTAAGCTTTTGTGTATGTATCGAGGGCTGATACTTGTGATGAATGCTCAGCTAATGCAGAATGAGTATATAAGAGCACTTTGTTTTTTTCCATCAAAAAAAAAAAGTTTTTAGTCCTACTTTTCATCTTTCTTTAAATGCAGATCTCAAATTGCTCGACCTAGGATTAAATGCTATTCTTTCCTACCACAGTAGGACCCAGAGAGTGAGAAGATGTCTTTTGCCACTTTACGCTTGAGCAGTAGGTGGTTAATCTCCCTAACAAGGAAGCTGGAGATGCAATCTCTGTAATACACACCATAAAAACTTTTCAGGCGGCGTTTCATAATAGTATTATAGAAAATTAAGATTG